AAACAGGTAAGAAACAAGTCAGAAACACTAAAAAGGCAGCACTTGCCTAGCATCCATGCATCCATCCATCCACCTCATCTCTTATCATTGCTACTTCTACTATTACTATTACTACTACTTCTACTACTACTACTACTACTACTTTTACTGCTGCTACTGCTGCTACTGCTACTACTGCTGCTACTACTACAACTACAATAACAACAACAACAAGAACAAGAACAACAACAACAACAACTACTACTACCACCACTACTACTACTACCACTACGACTACGACTACTACTACTACTGCTACTACTACTACTATTACTACTACTACTACTACTACTATTACTATTACTATTACTATTACTACTACTAGTACTACTACTACTACTACTACTCCTCCTCCAAGCTAACTAGAATGTCCTTCTGACCTGAAAACATCTGCGCGGATTCCGCGCGCGCGGAATCCGCGCGGCCATGTCAATTATTGGCATGGTTCTGGTCTCAATCTTAAACGAATATAAATATAATCTAATCAAGTCCGTATCTTGTCTTCAAGAGGATGCTTGCAAAAAAACGAATGTAAATGGTTGGATGCTAGGCAAGTGCTGCCTTTTTGGTGTTTCTGACCTGTTTCTGACCTGTTTCTGACCTGTTTCTGACCTGTTTCTGACCTTTCCCGGAATCTTCTTCAACTTCAAAAAAATAAGCACGGGCAGTCAAACTAGGAACAATTTTAGTGATCGTCAAAGCAATATCAATACTAGTACCCGAAATACTAGTACTAGTGCTACTAGTAGTAGTAGTAGTAGGAGGAGTAGTAGTAGTAGTAGTCGTCGTAGTAGTCGTCGTAGTAGTAGTAGTAGGAGGAGTAGTAGTAGTAGTCGTAGTAGTCGTCGTAGTAGTAGTAGTGGTGGTAGTACTAGAAGTAATAGTAGTAATAGTAGTACTAGTAGTACTAGTAGTAGTAGTAGTAGTAGTAGTAGTAGTACTAGTAGTACTAGTAGTACTAGTAGTAGTAGTACTAGTAGTACTAGTAGTACTAGTAGTACTAGTAGTACTAGTAGTACTAGTAGTACTAGTAGTACTAGTAGTACTAGTAGTACTAGTAGTACTAGTAGAAGTAATAGTACTAGTAGAAGTAATAGTACTAGTAGAAGTAGTAGTGCTAGTAGTGCTAGTAGTACTAGTCGTACTAGTAGTACTAGTAGTACTAGTAGTACGAGTAGTACTAGTAGTACGAGTAGTACTAGTAGTACGAATAGTACTAGTAGTACTAGTAGTACTAGTAGTACTAGTAGTACTAGTAGTACTAGTAGTACTAGTAGTACTAGTATTACTAGTAGTACTAGTAGTACTAGTAGTACGAGTAGTACTGGTAGTATTAGTAAAAGTAGTAGTACTAGTAGTACTAGCAGTACTAGTAGTAAAAATAGTACGAGTAGTACGAGTAGTACTAGTAGAAGTAGTAGTACTAGTAGTACTAGTAGTACTAGTTGTACTAGTTGTACTAGTAGTACTAGTAGTACTAGTAGTACTAGTAGTACTAGTAGTACTAGTAGTACTAGTAGTACTGGTAGTACTAAACTTGTACTAAACTTGTACTAAACTGGTGAATAACGTCATTTAGATTGGGGCCCGCCTTGTACGATAGACAAAAAAAAAAAACAATTTCGACCTCCTGAAGACTAAAACCCTAACCGCCCTTTTTGCGCGCAACCCATATAAATTGGTATTTCATACTACCTCCGGGGCCTTGCCGTCTGGCCCGCCCTCCACATATTTAAATGTCGTTACCGTATAAGGGGGGATACCATTGGGAAAGGGGAATTGCAAGCCGCCGGCCGGGACCATATACATAAAAAAAAATAATTATTTAAAATATAATTATTTTATTTATGTTTTGTAATAATTTTATTTATTTTTTTCTATTATATAATGTAATTAAATAAATTATTAAAAATATTAATTATATATTTTATATAATATTATAATATATTATATAATATTATATAATATAATATTATATAATTTAATATTATATTATATTATTATATTATATTATATTAATATTAATATTAATATTAATATTACTATTATATTATATTATATTATATTATATTATTAGAAATAATATGATCTATTATAATATAATTAAATAATATATTTAAAATAATCAATATATTGGTTTTGTAGGTACAAATAAATGCAATATGAATTATTCAATGCCGAAAATCGATGGAAAGAATTGGACAATATGAGCAGTGTGTTTTCCAGAATCGATTGCAATCATCCTCAATGAATGCTAAAGAAATAGGATGTCTATACGACAATCAATAATATTTTATTAATATTTAATATATTTAACAACAAACTGACCAACCCAAGTTTTAGGACACTGCTCACATAAAATCCTGATTGCATCTGATTGCAATGAAAACATGTCTTGGAATTTCTATGCTGGTGTCTTGTTCTGGTTGAAGATCCCTCCTGGGCTGATGGCTCGATCAAGAAGGACACCACTCACGATGCCCACTGCAAAGTCCACTTGGTAGCAGAGCACTGCTGTCACAACCAGTACTCCAAAGCGGATCCGCGAACCCTCTTCATCGGCCCAAGCAGCCTTTGCTGCCTCGAAAGTGGGCCCAAATTGCATGGTGTCGAGTGACACTGCCACCATGATGCCTGCAAGTGCCGGCACGCTGATCTGTCCAACAATTGGAGCAAGAACCAAGGCAAATAAAATCATTGTTGCAGCATAGGATGTCACGGAAATCAAGCCTCCACCCCCAGAGTTGAGATTCAGGACGGTCTGGGGAACGAGGCCACAACCTCCAAAGCCACCAAAGAAAACGGACAAGCCATTGCCAGCTGCCAAAGAAAGGACGGTTGATGTAGGAACATCAACAGATGCTGGCTCTCCATCTGGACCGGTGATGACCAACTCACCATTTTCATCGTAAAAGAATGTGCAAAGCTCTTCACATTTGCGGTCATCCACCACACGTGCAGCAAGAAGCGTTTCCAACAACGAAATGAAGGCAATGGATACTGCGCAAGGAAGAGCAATGGAGATATCTTCCATCGATGGCAATTGTGGCAACTGAAATTGAGGCAAAGCTGCTAGTCCTCCTGCGAAGGCCAGTGGATCTTTGGCTTTTGCGGCTAATGTTGGTACATCAAAGTTGAGAACAATCCCCACGATTGACGCCACTGCCAGGCCAATCAGCGAGGAAGGAACTGGCGTCGATGGTAGGAACTGTGTGAGTGCAGCACAAATGAGCGCCAACGCTGCTGCCTCTGGTGTGGACATTGCCCCAAACTGCGACATGAGCAGCGCAAGGCCCAAGGCATTCAGGAATCCTGCCAGCACCTCTTTGGACACTAAATCTACAGCCCTTGCGAAGCCCACCGCACCAGCAGCAAATTCAATGAGGGCGGCCAGCAACACGACCAATGGCACCAGCTGTAGCCCATGGACCGCCGTGAAGGCCCCAAGAGGTACCACCACCACAGCAGCCGAACCTGCCACAACACCCGGCCGCATTCCAGCAATGGAGGCGAAGCCAAGGGACACACAGGACCAAAGACCGACCAAAGGCCCTGTTCCAACAATGGCGCTACAAGCAAGAGCCTTAGATAGCAAGGAGAAAGCCACACTCACTCCTGCCAGGACCTCTTCAACAGGGCTCAATTCTTCTGGCACTGCTTCTAGTGTTTCCACCTCCAGGGAGATATCAGTGGTTTCAACATGTTTCAACCACACTGTTCAGCATGGGTCTCGAACAACCAAAAACGCCGAGTCAAGATATATGCATAATTAAATTTATTTAACTATATGACTATATCCCATTCATCCCAGTATAATTGGTTCATTTGTTCCCATATTCCTTCGAGTGATATCCCATTTATCCCCATCAAAGCCCTTCCCAACCTCCGGGTCTGCTAGAGCCGGAAGCGCTGGAAGCGCTGAGTCACTGAAGGGCCGTCCCCGCTGCCCTCGGTTCCCATGGCCAGGCAGAGCCACGAAGTTCGGTAGGCTCCACAACACCAGAGAGCCAAGGAGCAGCAGCAGAATGCCCCGAGGACCACGGCAACGAAGCATGGTGCATTACGCAAGTTTCGATGATTGATGATATCATATTGTATGAGATGATATGCGATGATATGAGATGATATGAGTTGTGATGATTGGACTGACAATTCGTGATGCTGTGTGACAAATCGGACATCGGCTTGCCTTGAAGCTTCAGGTAGGATCAACTTACTATATCACCAAACAACACGATCGTTGTGCAACACTTTTGCTGAAGAGGCAGCTTGGCCAAGTCATGCCAAGTCCATGGCATATCCACATGTCATCAATGTCCAGTACCGTTGTTGCTCCTTACCAACTGACTCAGGGGCACAAGTGGTGGTTTCAGATCAAGAAAACAACACCATCAAGCCAATTGGCAGCGGAGTCAAGCAAGTGCATCTACAGTTGTAGCACGCAGTTAGAACTTGCATTTCCAATCTGCAGCGAATCGTTCGTGCAACAGGCTCTTTGCAATCAGCATCAGCATCAGTTGCATTGCTGTGGCTCTTTTGCTTCAATCAATCATCATAGATGGCTCGATGATGGCTCGATACCTGGGCATCAAGGGCTGCAAGTAGTTTTCGGAGATATTCATATAAATTACATATATAATTATAATATATAACTATATAAAATATATAATCTGAAAACTAATGAAAACTATTGAAAGCTAATGAAGTCTTGGTTTGGCAGTCGAAGCCAGACTTTCGATCTGGGCCTGGAATCAGGTTTGGCCAACAGCTCTTCTCGCTTTCCTTCCTGGCGAGAGCCCTCATCGCTGCCCTCACCACTTTCAAATTGCTTACTTGATGTTACTTGGTCCAGTAGCTACCAGTTGGAGGCAGCCAGTTACAATCATCAGTTCCCATAAGTTACCCACTGGGAACTGCCAACCGCTGGTCCTCCACCACTGTACCTCCTTCCAGAACGATGATGCGATGAGCCCTGCCGAGCGTGCCACTGACTTGACCCATGACCTTTTGGGTCAACCTTCCTCCCCCAAAAAATCATGGGATGGCTTACTACTCAAAACAATGAGGCTTATAGGCTTATATACTCAAAATGAACTATGAATATCTATGAATTATGTTTCCGTAATGGCATTATACCGGGATGGTTTACCAGTGCTTACTAGTCAAAACAATGAAACCCCGTGGTCTCCAAAAGCGTGAAACAGGACCCTCTGACGCCTGGCAACAGTTCGCAAGCGGTGGGCAGCGACCTCAGTGGTGTCATTTGTTTATTAAGTGTCTACGGCACTTCAGGAAACATCTATAAATCATGATAAATGTTTAAAACATCTATCATGAAACATCTATCATGGAACATGTATCAAAACATATAATCAATTGATTAAGTATCATGAAACATCAATCAACATATGTAAATCGTTAAGGCTCTGGGTTTTTCATGTCCCAATCATCAAAATGTGTAGCAAAGCAGGGATTTTGCCAAGGTGCTAAAACTGCATGCCCATCCCTAGCCAACTGAGTCAGTGTGGTGGCAACTGCCTCCTGGCGTCGATGTCTCAATCTCACTGGGGATGTCATCTCCACCAAGCAGGGTTTCCATATCATCCACATGTTAAAAATATGGAAACTGAGATTTGCCAAACCCATATTCAGATATGATCCTTTTTTTTTAAATCTTTTTGAGAAAAGAACATGTTATCCCCGTATCATTCCTTAAAAGTCAGACATTTCCCAAACCTCTCCTCAGACTCTCCATCAAGGGCTGAAGTTGGTTCATCCATGAGCAGCACCGGGGCTCCTGTGCACCGGGGTTGGGCTGTCACTTGGGGTATCAATGGACCCAACTCGCTCGCCTCAGTAGTAATAACCATTCTTAAACCCTCTATCTTTTTTGGGTGGTAAATCACTTGAGCCCTATCCAAATGACTTCTACTCCCTGACAAACTGCTTTGCAGCAATCATGCTGCAACTGGTGGACAACTGGTGGACAACTGGTGGACCTGGACCTGTCAAAAGCAAACAATCAAACATTGCTCAAGATCAGACTATGATGGGCTGAGTGATAGCCATGGTCCATTTCATGACCTGCAAGAACTAACTGCAGTAGCATGGCTAGAATAAACATATATTGTATGACTATATGATAATGTATACTAGTTATAAGGTGTTATAAGATATTCACTTAATGATTTCTGAACAAACCCTTCTCCAAGCTTTATGCAGTTTCAACAACTGGACAGCGATCCATCAGCTCGCACAGTACCTCGGGCAATGGCTCTGGCAATGGCAAGCCTCGCGAGGTGGCTTTAAAGGGTGAACATAAACCCGGCTAGCTGGGAACCAAGATTTTGGTCAGTCCTATCCATTTGAATTGCTGTATTTTGATATGTTTTTTATAGTCTATATTATGTATATATATGAATATCGAAATCAATAACTTGATAGTTTCTTGATCCATGTTTGGGAGTACTTAGCACACACCAGCTGCTCCTTGGTTGAATCATGTTGAATCATTTTCAGAGCCCGTGATTTGACACAAAACATCCGGGATGACTTTCCAACATTTTCCAACACCTTGCCTCTGCCGTTGTCCACCAGACAAGGACGACCCTCGCTCACCCAGCTGTTTCTCTGGGGGGAGGACCTGACCATTGTGCAGCACGGAACCGGAGGAACATGGTGAAACATGACGGCAACATGGCTATGGCGCATGGCTTATTGACCTCCAGGTAGGATGTTGGAGTGCGAGTCATAAACATAGATACAGGATGATACAGGATAAGTATGGCTTTTGTCCCCCACCCAAACAGGGTTGTTTGATACTAAAGGTGGCCAACTTAATGATCTTAATGTGAACCCAGTGGCATCCCATATGTGGTCCCCATGGCATCTGCTATGGCCTTCACGAATGAGGATGCTTGTGCAGCTTGCAGGGCTGAGGCCACTCGTTCCTGCGAATATGTGAGAACCAATGAGTCGACCCATTGTTTGTTCTATTCGGGGTTATCCAGCAAACTAAAATGGAGAAAAGGCAGGGAGAGCAGGACATGATCTACAAATAGTGTGCGTGTGTGTTTACAAATCTATGTCGTCTACTGAAGGGTACATTCCCATTAAATGTGGCAACGCCAATCATAAACCATCCCAAAATCACCATTCTTATGGTATATAAACTATCCACAAAGTAAATTTGTTATTGGGTGTCCCACATGAAATGCAACCTGTGATGGAACCACAATCGAAGAGCCACTGCCGAATCGAGGCAACATGGCCTCTTCTTCACCATCTGGCAGATCACATCCTTACGATTCGAGGCAACATGACCTGCACCCACTTCCCATCTGTTTCGCGTAACCTTTCGCCCTTTGGAAAAATCCAAGGCCAATTTTACGTTTTTAAGATTTTTTCCTATGGAAAAACTTCAAGTGCCTGCCTTAAAGTACCTCGTAATACTATTTAATCCGAGCAGCAACTCGTCAGCTAAGGCTGAGTCCATATGCCACGTTGGCCGCCACGGTTCGGTCAAAAAGGGAGGGATCCTGGTCGACCACTCCCAGACACCGCCGCAAGTCCTATGCAAAGAACATTCGCAGCACATCCGATTCGAGGCAAATCAGACCATATCTGGAATATTTTACAGCTTACAACACACCTCAAAAAGATAGAACAGTGATTCACCAGTATTTTAGCAGGATTTTAATGGATTTTACTTTTCTCTCTTTTAGGGGTTGCTACCATAGACTCCTGCCACCGTGGGCAAGTAGATTTTCCAAGTGAAATCCTGCTTAGACTCATTACGCATTGCAACTTTTCATAACTTTTAAGCATCCTGAAGGCCAGTTTGACCAAACAGGCTCCAATCACCTATTTCCAACACCCCTCTTGATCACAGAGATTCCAGACTCTTCTCTCCGAACTCCTTTTTGCAAACTTTCACTTCTCATGAACTGCGTCCCGCAGGTCCTTTAAATCAACATCTCGAAGGTCATGACCATCTAATCGCACACATCCCTCCTCACAACAGCCACGTCGCCAAGTCATTATGGGGTCAAGTCATAGCAAGTACCCCAATTGGATGCTAAGTTTTAACATCTAGAAATGAAAAAGGTGGGTTCATGGGCCTTGAAGTTTGATCCATGCCTCGGTGGCAATAGACCTTGAACACCGACTTCCCAGACATTGGGAAAGGTCTCCCTTGTGCAACTGAAACATCCCGTGGTCAGGCCCCAGAGGTTAGATCGCTACCATGTTATCATATGTTATCTATATTATTCATTATTATTCTATATTTAGGTGGCCATCCACCTTAGGTTTGTCATGTAGCATATCATATGCACTTCCACTTTTTTCCTGGTTGGTGGTTTCAACATCTTTCAATCCTCCCCGAATAATATTATTTAATTGATTTTAATTGCGTATATTTAATTGGGATGATCATCCCACGCAAAACATCACTCGGTTTTCGACAGTTTGGCTCCTGAGGATCTGCCAAACGTGCACAGAGCTTCAAAATCGTTGACTTTCCAGCTCCACTTGCCTGCCAGTTTCATTTCCCAGGACTGGGATTTTTGAGACAACATTCTCATTGTGTTTTCAGAAAGGCTTGTTTGTCTATATTCAGTTACATTGTTTTTTGTCAATATATTGCATGATCTGAAGTAATGTTGTTTTTTTGGTGTCCATGCACAAACCTTTTCTATTAGAAATACAGAAAGGCTTGTTGTGGGCCCGCAAAAGGCATTTTATTCCCCAAATGCATTGCATGGTCTACAACAATATTGGCCTTTTGCTGTCCATACACAAGCCTTTTCTAGTGGAAATAGAGCTTAGAGTGGTTAACCACCCAAAATAAAGCCAAACAAAGCAAAAAGAACAAAAAACAAAAAACACAATGTTTTGGGGACTACTTGGATCTAGGCATGTTCAGACTAGTCTGGAAAACATTGTTTTTTTTGTTTGGTTTCTTTGTTTTTTTTGGTTTCTTTGGTTTCTTTGGGTTTTTGACTCCTTAGGATTATATAATCCAGATTAATCCAAACGAAATCTGATTCATCTTGCCCCAAGGCATTCTTGTCAAACCATTATTTAAAAACAAAATGTATGCTAAACATGCGCAGTATTCCTTGGGGATGTGCAGTTTTCCTTTTCAGGTGTGAATCCTTTGGGGATGTAAAATTATGTTTTTGGTGAAGGATACCGTTCCTTCAAATAAATGGTGTTCCTGTCCCAGTAGAACGCAGCTGGAGTTCTTTGAAAGGAGTGTTAAATATTTTCAAATCATGGTGTAACTTTCAAAAGAGGCAGATGATTCAATTTTCTTTTTGGTGAGTAAAACCTTTCCTTCAAACAAATGGTGTTCCTTCCAAACAGATGGCAGCTGGGTTTCTTTGAAAGGAGTGTTACATTTTTTTAAAGAAATGGTGCTACTTTCAAACATAAAGGCAAGCTGAGCTTCTTTGAGAGGAATGTTACATCGTTGAAGGACACACTGCATATTTTGACACAATATTGTTTCTGTTGTTTAAACTAAACTGTTTCAATCTTTGAAGAAAACAGCATCTGCCTGAAGGAATATTACCAGGATAAACGAAGAACACAGTAATACTGCACTTTAGAACACAATACACATCGTAGATAACACATATTGTGTTCAAAAAGACTCCAACCTCCACAAAAATATGTCTTCCTGAAAAAACATTTGACTAGCTCAAAAGCAACCACCAGCCCACCAGCTTGTACATGACAACAACTTTCTTGGCTGGATGCTTTGTAAGGAAAACTGCACTTCTTTGAAGAACATCATTTCTTCAAAGCATTGTTTGCTGGGAATGTAGCACAGGCATACAACTTAATAGACTATATACAAATATTTCTCTTTGGGCAATGAAAGCAAGTGAAAAAACAACTGCATTGCCTGATATTGTTTGCAATTTTGCCTTTAACTCAATGTGTTGCATTTTCTTTGGTCAACTGCTGCGCTGCGCAGCTCAAACTCACTGCGCAGCTCAAACTCATTCAACATTATTATGTACTTCCACACCTGTTTGAAAACACTTGATTTTCTAACTAAAATATGCCTTGTAGATGAATTAAGGTTATGCTTCAAAGACGACTCATCTTTTCAAAAGAAGTAGTATTGTACCACAATCATATGGAAACATGACAGTAGTGTATCCCTAGGTTTCAAAACAATATTTCCAATTTTGATGATGTTTGCCACACAAAAAGAAGGATATAGAACTATTGTTTATGAGAAGTACATGACCTGAACTTATCCACTGTAATTTTGTATTTTATGTTACATACATATTCTGCTGCACCTAATGCTTCAAAGTGGAGATATATTCTGTTTTCTCTTCTAGGGTGGAAATTCTTGGAATTTGCCACATTTTGAACCCAATGACTACCATATTGTTCTAAAGGAGTGCATTTTACAGCTGAATATGTGTTTTTCTCTGGGTCAGGCCTCCTCCTTTTAAACATCCTATTTGATTATGACCATTTCCCAAAGGATACAAGAACATGAGGAAAGCCTACTTTCCAGCGCTGGCAACAAGCCCCTCTCTATGTTTTAGCATGTCTTATAAGTTGTCTTAAGTTATCTAAAATTGTAAGCAACCAACATGGGGGACAAAGATCATTGCTTAGATTGAATGAAATTGAACGATACTACTTAGTACTTAGTAACTTTCACTTTTCAGGTGATGTTTTGTCTCCCGAAAAAGTACCCACACAGCTCATGGACACCAAGGTACTCCGACCAAAGCCACCACTTCGCCAGGGTTCACACAGAAGCTGACGTCACGTAGCGCCCAACGGTCCTATCACCATGCTCAACATCTCAAGAATTAACTTTTGAAGATATTCAGCTTGTTGATGCCGTGGGAATCTTGCAGAGCTCCGTTTTCTTGTTGGAATCCATCCACATTCTTTTGTTCAATCACCATTTTTTCATATTTTTTCTTGATGTAGACTCCAAACCCAGCCTTGGGACTATCGTAGCAAAAGCCAACTCGATGTAGTTCAAGCCGGCCGCTGACCTATGGACAGCGGGGAAGAGATCCAGGAATAAACTTTGAACCCGTCGACCCACAAACTTGCCATTGATCTGATAACGAATGATATTTCAGACAGCCCACTGCGAACCACACATGCACAAGAAAGTGGAAAATCATGGAGATGGCAATTGGCAATTGGTCAATCTTTGTGAGATCATCTTCAGGGGATGACCATCCAGTGAGGTATGGAAACAACTGACCAGCTCATCTGTGGGTCCTCAGCGCCACCGGTTCAGCCGAGCTGCAGATGAGCGTGGCAAAGGCTGTGCATTGGGCCGGGTGTACCTCAACCAGTGCACTGGTGCTGATTTGGTGCTACCATGTGCTACCAGTATCAAATGGGTCTGTTGCATCTGGAAAAAACAATGGTGTTTCCATTTCTTTCCCCCAATTTGCTCATCATACTTTCTATGAAATTGTATAATTTCGGGGGACGCTTGATACCCAATGGATCCATAGGATATCTCCAGGATTCGCGAAGATCCCCCGTTTATGCAGACAGGTTGCACGCTCGGCTCGCGGTCAGTGAGGTCAAAATATCTTTTGGAAACAGCCTTGACGGGACAACCCATTGACGGATACTGATGGTACATGATCCACTTTCCATGCTGGGCTGCTGAAAAGCTGAAGTGACACGAAGTACTGTAAATATTGTTTATTTATTTATGACATGGAATGAAATGGATATATATAAATAAATTAATATATATATATATAGATATAAATATATATATAAATATATATATATAGTGAGTATCCAATGACGACCATTATGACGAACCACTCTCTCCGAATCTCTCAGAGCTCTCCAGTTTCGGCGTTCTCCTGTGCACGCGCCATGCCCGTGAACAACTCTGAGAGCTCGCGAAAGCCTCGCCGATAGCTCCACAGGAGAGTCCTCCGCTGTGCTGCACAGCTACGGAATGCGAAAAGGAACATCTTGCGTTTTTTAGAAAAAAACCTGAAAGAAAATTTGAGCTGACAACCCCCAAAATGGCATCAAACACTCCACACAAAGGAAAGACCATCTTCCATTTCCAGGATTCTCGGGGGAACTTTGGATTGCCATTGGCCAAATGCAATGCATGCGGACTCAAGAGTGATGACCCCATGGTCCGCGGCCTGTAGGTGTAGAATTGTCCCATGGTCAACTCGCCACGTGCGATGAACAAGCAGGACAAACCTGCTTGAAGCTGGCATTGTTTTCAGCTCATGGGGAGTATATGGACTCGGGGTGACTATTCTGAAGTGAAATCATTTGTTAAAGCCATCATCTGCCCCTACATCTGTATACATCACTGTATCTGCTGTCTAAAACTTAATGGCTGCCTTTAATATCCTTTATATAATATCCAATAACCAATTACACCAATACAATATTCAACTGTCAACAGCTCAGATTTCATCTGCAGCCAAGGCTCACAAGAGCGGAACATCTGTCAGTGCATCGTTCCTTAGGAAGCTACATTACCATCTCTACCAGGGGTGTCAACATGTCCCGTTTCAACCCTTCCCAAACATCGGGGTACTGTATTATACCCAGCACCCACATGAACCTGGTATGATGTCATGATTGAACTACTCAAAATAGATCAAAATGAGACTTTTACCGGCTTTACCAGCCCCTGTCTGCCACAAAAACTTCTTTGGCTTGCAAACAAGCAGCAAAAGGGAGGAGACAAAGCGAAGCGCTGTCTCTTTGTACAGAGTCTGCTGAATCACCTCTGCCAGTGTCTAAGCACGGGAGGAAATGGATGGAAAATCAAGAGGCAAAAAGAGAAAGTGTATATACGTCAAGTTTACCACCTTGTGGCAATATGTGGCAACCATTTAGGTCATGTATATACCTATACCATCCTATACATTCCTATACCATTATACCATAGGTCGGAGCAACCCTAGCCAGGGTTCAACTGAAACGGGTTCAATCTTTTACCCTGGGCCTCCAAGTAGCTCTCAGTGGCATCCTCGTACTCCTGATGTGAGCGACTGATTTGTTTAAATGACAGCACCCTCGTGGCCAAAATGAACAGAGCAGGTAGACCTGAGATATGAAATCAGGAGATGGATCGAACATTCACAAGATTTAAACCTCTTGGTTTTCCCATAGATGGATTTCAAAGGATTTCAACCATCCCTTTTCTGGCCCGATGTTCCCAGTATTGGTTTAAAGGAAAATCTGCAGGAAACCCCTATATTTGGAGGAATAAACACCGGTTTTCCTCTAGATTTTCCCTTAAACCAACCCATTGAACTGTTGAAAGATAAGGATGACATGGGAACCACTGTGGCTCCTTGGTCTCTGTTCCTTCTGCCCCTGCCAGTTGAACTGCTCTCACATTTGCAATGGCCTAACAGAACCCAGTGGTTGGAGGGGGAAATGGGGCTTCACCCTCAATAATTCACCAAGGGATTCGGGATACTCTATTTTCAGAGAAGTCCATTTGTGAGGGCTCAATACCAACATCTTTGTGCCATTTTCAAAACGCAACATGATGCCATGTTCTGTTCTTTCTACTGCTGCTGCCCGTCTGGGACCACTTGGTGGGCTGTCAAATATCTACCCCACTTTTGTGGCTCAGTGACTCAGTGAAGGGTTAATGACATCGGGCACCAAAATCAACCAAATACGTACAACCGTACAATACACATATTAAATCACTAAAACACCATGAACAAATCATATCAATGTTTTGACAAATGATACCTCCACTAATCCCATCCCCTTGATACTAGGCAGCCCCCAGAAACCAATGACTGTAACACTGTAGTTGAGTCGCTGTTGTTGATGATTATATCATATCCCTATACAATCCCAATTACAGGAGATGTCCATCATTTATCACTCATATCATATCCCCATATTTTTGCTGGTTCAGACTTCCATATATGATGGGATTTATCCAAGTCCCTATTGTTGATGGTTATATATATCATTATATCCCCATACAACCCCCTTAAGTTCAAACTAATTACTAATTTCTATAGTTAAGTCACTATTGTTAGATAAATCCCTATTGTTGATGCTTATATATAGGATCTTATAGGTCTATCAGATCAAAAAAAACGTTAAGTCATGTTAAGTCAAATGTTGATGCTGTGCTCGGATGGGATGGGGTGGGATGAGGATGTGAACCTTTCTTCGCCTACGTTCCTTCGACCTTGCATAAGATGTTGATGCGACCCTCACATGGGGCCGGAGTGGGGATGTTAGCAAGAGACTTGCCTCACTGTTATCCGATGGAACGTTAACATTCCTCAGTTGCGCTTGCTTAAAAGGTAACATTTTTTATTCCTGTTTTTGATTTTCGAAAACATTACACTTTTTCAACCAATCTTTGCCTCCAATCCGAGCTTAGAACTCTGTCGCAGAATTAGTGCAAAAGACAACATTTTTTTGCGACCAATGGTTGGAAAAAAATTGGTAAAACTGAAACTGGAAGAAACTTGTTCAGACCCTGGTTCTCGCTGGCTTTGGGCTGTTTCCATTGTTTTCCTGTTTTGCAGTTTACTGAGGCTTTGTAAAGATATTGGGAGGGGGACTTAGACACACAAACTCTTAGAGACTTGAGTCCCTATTTCTGATGGCTATTCGGAGGTTTCCTAAAATCAGGCTACCCCTTAATCAACTAGCTATTGGGGATTTTCCATGATTTTCCATGATTTTCCATGGTTTTTAGATGGGGAGTTTCCATGATTTTCCAATAAACCAACTAGCTATTGGGGATCCCCCATGGAAACCCCCATGGATCCACCCTATCAGACTCCCCGGCCGTCGCCTCCGAGGCTACGCCATTGACGCGTGCCAGGGCATCATTCTGCAAGGCTCCGTAGCGACCAACGACCTGGCTTCGCCCCCTAGGGTCAGCGGTCAATGGGGGAGTTGGTCATTTCCCCTATGAGATGTTACAATGGGTTATAAAGGTCTAACTATAACTCATGTTATGGTGGTTATAACATAATTAAGTGTAAATGGTTGATATATCATAGGTTATCATAAATCATAATGGGTTATAAGAGGTTAAAAGAGGTTGTATAATATCTCATTATAATAGTTAGACCTTTATAACTGTATTCAAACTGCTGTCACTAACTATATTTATTAAAACACAGTTTTACATTGTTTAAGGAATAGTTGTCAATTAATTGTAAGATACTACAATTAGTTGACCACATATTCCGGACTACTATATACTCATGTTATTAGTGACAGCAGTTTGAATAAATGTCAATCAATATCAACATAATTTTAATTATAAATATCCTTAAATATCAGTAAATATCATTAAATATGATTAAATTTGATTAAATATCATTAAATATCATTAAATATCATTAAATATCATTAAATATCACTAAATATCATTAAATATCATTAAATATCATTAAATATCATCAAATATCATTAAATATCATTAAATATCATTAAATATCATTAAATGCCAAGCAACTATCAGCTGTAGGTATCTCACATAGCAAGAAACTTACCAAGTACCCTGGCGGCTTCAGAGTGGACACCACCTGTCCGGTCTTCTTGACCAGAAAAAATGCCATTGGCAACGGAGCCTGAAGCATCGGTTGGATGGGCCAAACACCTATTGCTTGATGGGGTTCCAATGGAGTCTGTTGGGTTTATGATGGATAGAATGACATATTGTATAAATATATAAAGAGGTACCGGTACAATATATGTGTACATATACGTACCATGTGTATATATAATCATATATATATATATAGATGCTCCCGTCCTCCGTCTCTCCACCCACCCCCCCCAATGGGTTGGGTCCCCAGGTAGCACCCCCACTTCCCTTCTATTTGCAAGCTATTGGCAGCATTTCTGAGGTCCAGCTTCGTATTTGCTAGGCCTTTGCAGCATTTCTGACTACCAGCCTCGCATTTACTATGTACATGCTACCTTTTAGGCGACCTGCGCAGCACACATACTCCCTCAAAGTACCTACGTGCTACCTAAAGTCATATATACATGTGATATGTATCTACTTCATATTTACTACCTGTGTACTCTGACAACACTACATGTGTTTAACATTTACCGTACCTACCATAAATTACAATCATGCCATGCATACCATACCTATCATACCTATCATACATACCATACATACCATACATATGAAACATAATTACCACACCTACAGACATACAATAGCAAACATACATGCCATACATACCATACCTACCCTACATGGGAAACATTCCATACCCATCATAGTAACCATACAGACCATACATACTGTCATATCAAACATACCATACCCAACAGACTTACATACCATAGCTACCATCCATACAATACCAACCATTCATGCCATACATACCATACATACCAAACATACCATACTTTCCAAACATGCCATACCAGACCGACCATACACACCATACATACCCAACATACCATACCACACCCCACCACACCACGGGGGGGGGGAGGGGGAAGATATCATATGGGGCCAGTATATGGGACCCATCCCATGGGGGGGGAGGGGGGGTGGCAGGGCCTGGTGCATATATATATATATGTATATAATGGGTCATGACATGCTGTAAATAGTTATAACTATAAATTATAAATCTAGAACTACTTGGCCATTGGGATATTGGGGATTGGTCAAAAGCAATCAAACCGCACTTGGGTGGATGACAATCTACTTTCCAGATATTTTGATGTTGACCATGGTACCAGGGTTGTCTTGCAGTGAGATTCTTTTGAAACACTGGGATATACATGGCGGACGAAATTACCTATCATTGTTCATTTTTATATATTTTTATGCCATACGCAAATTAGGGTCGTACCCTATCGGTAGTGAGGATTTCTGCCTTCACAGACTTTCAGGCGACTCATGCAAACAGGGTATCGGTATAGGGTCGTCCCCTCTCAGTAATGAAGGTTTTGTTCACCCCTTAGCAAGGCTAAGGCGAAGCAAAACTAAATTGGTATTACATTGTATTACACTATCCGCCGACCCCGGCTGACGCAAGGAGGAACGCGTAAGGGAAGAAGAGTTTATGACAACTACAACCACAACAACAACAACAACAACAACAACTTCAACAACTACTACTACTACTACTACTCCTGCTGCTACTACTACTACTACTACTACTGCTGGTGCTGCTACTACTACTACTACTAGTAGTACTAGTACTAGGACCACTACCACTACTACTACTAGGACCACTACCACTACCACTACCACCACCACCACCACCGCTGCTACTACTACTACTGCTACTGCCACTGCCACTCCTACTACTACTACTACTACTACTACCACCACCACTACTGCTACTCCTACTCCTACTCCTACTCCTACTACTACTACTACTACCACCACCACCACCACCACTACTGCTACTCCTACTCCTACTCCTACTGCTACTGCTACTACTGCTGCTACTACTACTACTACGACGACGACGACTACGACTACGACTACGACTACGACTACGACTACAACGACATTTTGAACCTAAAATTTCTGAAAATGGACCATTTTTACCTTTAACGGCGCTAACAAACTATGGCAAAAAAAATAAGGACTATGACTTGTATTTGGCACCTGGCTGGCCGCAAGTTGGCCCTAAAAAGCAACATTACCACCAGCAGTAGCAGGAATGTATACCTGTTTCTGTACCTGTTTCTACGGTTTCAGAAGCGACGTTAGGCATTCTTGGCTGGCAAGTTTTTCGCCTTTCTGTCCCTTCACTGCCATGGTGTTTCAGCGTTTCGCATGCCGCAAAACGGAACAATAACTGCAACCGTTGCAGCTACAGCAGCATCAGCAACCATAAACATGAGTGTTTTAGCGTCTCCCATGCCGCAGACATGCCGCAGACCTGAACAAGAACTGACTACGCTTGACTTACCTTAGACTCAAACAGCAGAGGTACTCACCTACAATTTTTCCTCTCTTGCTTCATCCCTTCCACTTGACGTGCATTGGGCCCTGCTGATATAGCGCACCAAGTCACCATGTTCAAACTGATTCTGCAACAACAATCGACACTGTTCCATATAAAATCATTCTGTCATCCTTATAACTTATAACTTTCAATGAAACATGTCAAGAGTCAACAAGTCTAAAATTCAACATCTACGTACCTGACTGAAGCTTCCATTGAAGACCCACACGTCTTCGGTCATCTCAAACCTCCATATCTGCTATCCTCGAACCAAATAATCACCTCCAAAATGCAACTTTCCAATGCGCGGAGGTCCACGCATGCCACGCTCCCAAAAAGCACTACATCTAAAAAGCAAACAAGTGTTCCATGACAGAAACCCTTAACAAAGAACATAAGAACCACAGCATCCCTTCACGCGACAGATTGTTGTGTTCCATTGCTGTAGTTCAGGAAGCTGGGTCATCAGTTTCCTCTGCCCTCCACAAGCTGGCAAAAACACCTCGTCCTTTTTTTTCCGGGGTCGGCTTAAATATAATTTTGTCGGTTACTCATATGAGGATGGGACAAAATCGGGTAAATATCTGCCCTATCCTGCCCTAAAATGGCTAGTGGACACGAACAACAACAGAATCTATGGTTGTGTAGATTGTGTAGTAGTCCTTAAATTCTGCACAATTGATGATAATTGGAGATTCCGAAATTTCTGAGCCATCTGCAACACTGATGACCGTCAGCAGCAAGTGCTGCTTCGCCATGAGGACAAGTGAGACGACCTCCCGCAGCCACGCATGACCAATCAAGCTGATGATTTAGCACGTAAATTCGGGTGATTCAACGTGATTTTATCCATGAAATCGATGATTCAACCCTCATGACTGGAGATTTAATCGATAGTAAATGGGGTTGATAATTCAAAAAGGATTGTACACATGAAACGTGTCATTAAATCAGACACTTATAGACACTTGCCGTTTCACATGATTTAGGTCCACCCATTTTGATCCAATGCATAAAATCGGTAGAAAGGCAAGAATTTTGCGAACAAACTGTATTGAATTCAAGGGACGTCGTCGTGACAGTTGGTTCCAAAAGATATATTCTGACTGCCAGATCGCCGTGGGGCCCAGAGAGCTGGCTCGGGAGTGGCTGTGTAGAACAGGCTGGCCAGCAAGCTGGCGATGACATGCTGACGAGGAAGCTGGTGAGCAGAGGAAGAAGAAGAGGAGGAAGAGGTCAAGGAGCCGGGATGTCTGGTTAAAATCTAAAGACCCTCACCTGGCATGTGGGGAACAAAACTCTTTCTGAGCGCACTGAGCGCCCTGCCAATCGAACCAAATTCGTCACCAAGTTTTCTGGCGCACGATTCAGCACCTCAGTCCCACTCAGTCCCAACAGAACCGCTACCTCTTTTGGCGCTGTTGGTGCTGTGTTTCCATCTACGGCCCTCACGTTTTGAAGCTGGTCTGTGTCATTTGTCAACCTGCGCAAGCCGCTTATCATGGCACTACATGGCGTTGCTGTTCTGACTACATGAGTTTGGGGTTGGAAAATGGTCATTAATCATTGACATTCATTAACCATAGGACCTATAGGATTTGGGACTATTTTCGGACAAGCCGACAAACCATAGATTTTAGATGATTTTAGGGTTGGAACGAAGCACTCTCAAGGTTTGCCCGATCAAATTTGCCGCACGAGTGTTGGTCAAAACTAGGTTGGGTGGATCATTCCTTGAAAGTGACCGAACTCTGTTGTTCAGCTGGGCCATGAATTTTGAGCCCCGCCCACCTAAATCGATCAACACCCACCTATAATATGAATATGGATCAAACGGAGATATCATATGGGAAATAACCAGCATGATAATCCCATTAAGCCACCATTGTTTCAATTTTTTAGAGACAATCCCATCAAAATCCCATCACCATATTTCCAACTGGGCTCGTTTCATCCCCCAAAAAAGCTCCCTCCCAACAGTCCTGGAGACCAATGCACCACTGGAGTTTTTCTCAAAAAATGCAACCTCTTGTCGCATCAAGGCCTCCACCGGTGAAGTGATTTCATGAAGATATCGGATCTATCCAGCACGACTTGGGCAACATGCTGCTAATAAAACTGCACTGTATATATGTATATATAGGGGATTAGGGGATTCATGGGGATTCCATTCAACAGATGTTGCGATTCAAATTCTCAAACATATGTAATCCTATGTGCGATTTTGTATCAATAAATCGGAAGCTCCACCAAATAAACAAATAGCCCTAATAGTCCTACAAAGGGTCCCGGTCACCGCCAGTACCCCCATACATATCTCGGTCCAGCAATGAAGCCTTGAACAACTTTCTCCTCATTTGCATCGACATCTTCCACCTGCCACTTGGCAGAATTTGTTCAGCTGCCAGCCCAGCGAGTGGCAGTTAGACTTGATGAATGGACCATTGCCGAAAATGAACACAATGTGAACATAATATGAACCACTGATATTGCCAATAAGGTATCCTAGAATTCAAATCAACAAAACTACCAAAACATGTTCCCCAGGTGCAGACCCAGCCCATGAAACCATGGATTATGCTGCCTGGCCAAAGCAAATAGGATGCCTTGCACCACATTGGCCTGAAAAGTGATCAACCGCACATCAGCCCCATGATGCGCCTTGGAAGTCTCCCATAGATATCCACTCCAAAAATCTTCACACATTATATGTAAATCTATGTAATGCAAAATGAGCAGCGAAGTAGCCATAGAGGGCCGCAGCAAAGTAGAGGCCTATGGCATCAGTTCCAGCACGCATCGGACCAGTGACACGTATCAGGAACCAACCTTTTCCAAGTCTGCTTTGACTCAACACCCAAGGTGGGGCTACCTCAAACACAGTGAACATTTTCTGCCCCTCATCAACAGCCCATTCAAATCTGGGTTTATCATGGTTTATTGCATTTATCCAAAACATGAGTTGCCTTCAAAAGCCACATGATCTAGCACAAGTTCTCGTAAAGACACGAATCTCCCAGCCAAATGGTCCAACAGATCAACAGTGATCTATAGTGTATAATGATCTATATTTAAAAGCAACAGTGATCTAATTATAATGATCATTAATGATCTATACTTCTAGCAGGAGACCACAGGATCAGACCAGGGGGAATACCCCAGGCCCCAGCCCATCAACGTTGCCTGCGATGGGTGCCAAGGCATTCACAGCATCGCCTCCCTTCCCCACGAAACCCAAGGCCACATCCAGGAGTCGACCCGTGAGAAAGGCCCTGGCCAGTCATGGAAGTATAGCTTGGGATATTTTAATATATTTACGGGTCTACCACCATCAACAATAGGGGGTTTAATATGGTTTAATGGGATTTCATGGGGATAATGGGATAGATCACCAACCATCTACCAAAAAGCAGATTGATAATGGACAAAGACTGCGTCACACGACGCACCGGCACCAAAACGCACGTCATGGAACGTACCGCCAAAACGCACGGAACGCACAGCAACAAGACACTAAGCTTTTTGGGGTTCACTCTATGTTCGTCGAGCTGAACCATCAGGGCATCTTCAAAACTCACATCTCTTTTCGCTGCTCCCAGCAAGCGTTCCCAGGATTGTGCTCTTGGAAATCTTGGAACAAATTAGTCTGAAGATTTGAATTTCAAATCTGATGACCTATGATATCTATGGATTGATTTAAAAGGAACGTCTACGGAGTCTGGAGCTAGTATCAACAAGCAAATCTTCCAATCTGAAGAACCTTGTGGCTCCATAGCATTTCATAACCGGATTCCCGATCATGGATTCTATAATGTCACCAACTCTCCTTAACTTGATGAGATTCTAACTTGGCAACACCCTACTCGTTGGTTGTTTGCATTTATTACTGCGTGCTCAAGCACCCTCAAGACAGCGCCTGAGAGATGCTGTACCGGCCAGGGACATTGAAATCAGCGTCGCGGGAATCAGCAAACGAAGCTGCGCCTGGCCAACAAAAATCATGAATTGTACCACTTTCCTGTCAATAATCCCACTAATGTGGTCAGCCCAATCACAAAGACCTTCCCAGCAACATCCAGCAACTGACCCAAATCTACAGTAGGAGTTTTGTTAAAACAACATATCCGAAATAGGGGTACATACTGCTTGGCTAATAGAGATTCCTAGGTCTTCCTCTTACAGATTAATTCACAAGTCCTATGTGCGGTCCATCAATCCACCCGACCTGGTCCCGGAACTCTCGCCATAGACGTGGGATCACCAATCGACCTGCGCTGTCAGTTGCTTCGAGACCAAGTGTCATTAGATACACGGGGAATATCCCTTTTCTGGATGGAACATGGTTAATTTATGCATATGTCTTCCATATATATATATAAAATATAATATGTGTATATATATAATATGTATATATATAATATAATATATATGTATATATATCACAAATATCACCATATATTACATGTATGTCATCGACTTCTCTCTCTCTCTCTCTTATAAATATATATATATATGTATGTAAATGTCGTCAAGTATAGGTATATGTTTGCTTTTTGATGTCCTTAGCATTGCATGTGTGTATTTGTAAAAATGTTGACAAATTGAAATTATATTCAACTATATAACACATATTTATACATACACTGCATCCATATCATCAGAATGCCCGGGCCCCACCAGTTGCCTACACATTTGTTCGCGTCGGGCTTCTCAGGATCTTTGCCAGATCCAATTCGCTGAGAGACAGATGAACATATCTTGTGCCTTGCGCGGAGATATTGGCAGCTGACACCATCGTGCCAAAGATTATATACTCAATAAATGTGATGGGACTTGTCATGATCTGTCTGAAAATGCTGGTAGACACTTGGACTTAGTTGTTTCCTAGTTCCTTCTGTCTCACAAATCGTCACAAATAAGCATTGCTCAGCCATTTGTCACAAGATGTCGACCCTGCCTTCGAGACGCTCGTCTCTGCGACCAAACCACTGCCACCTGAGAGCTTAATTGAACCTTTCGGTACAAGATTACAATCTCAATATGCGGATGACAGTTGGGACGAAAGCTGGCTGGGAGGGCAAAGAGAGGAGGAAGGTGTGATGAAAGAGAGGTGTGTGAGGAATTGGGAGATACAAAGTGGAGAGTAAGTCTGATGCTGCTGATGATGCTGACGGGGACAATATGGCGACCATGTCCCCAGGAGTGATCGAGCCACGGCAAAACTGCTGTGAAAAGCCAACCGGGGGGATAGTTGACTAATTTATGAACTTTCGTGCGATTGGCGATTCCAGCCCCTGCCAATACCTTGATAACGCAAGAGGGATTTCAGCTAGCCGAAGCTAGCTTTCGTGATGAGATGTTGGTTACAGTTGGTCGCCCCAAATTAAGTCATTCCAAGTTGCGCTTGCCGAGGCCCCAAAAGCACAGATTCCTCGGCCTCGGTTGGACTTTGTAGCACAAGTTGTTGGACCTGCAGATGTTACCTGCAACGCCATAAGGTGCACACCATCCAGCCGTGCTTGTGCAGAAGGCTGTTCTTGAACCCTGGCACCATGAAGGGCATTGTGAGCACTCGAGAAAAGCAAAGATAAGAGTCTATAATCTTCTCCAGTTAAAGTGACAAATAGTGACAAGCCCCTGCAAATATGGTGATGAATTGATGACATTATTGATGACATTTCATGACGAGCACAATACGTTCCTTGGGAAGATCCTTTGAGCTGGGGATTCCCATGGGATTCCCATGGGATTCCCATGCCCCCTACCACCATCTACCACCATCTACCACCATCTACCACCAGAATTGCACCTTCGAGGCTTGCTTGTCACAGAACCAACACGAGGCCGAGCACTTCCCGGCCAATCTCGGCAGTGAAGGAGTGAATGGTACCCAGATGCTCCATGTATGGTCGATGTTTACTACAGATGCATCCCTAAGATCTTGAGATAATTTCTATGGAGGTTTTCTTAAATATCTTTTGCTTATTAAAAAAAAAAATCATTCTTAATCACTGTTTTGCTACAATGTCTTGCTCAGCTTTGGTCACATTTAGTAACTCTTTATGTATGCCTTCTTGAGTTTTCCGTCTGTGGAGTTAACATCTATGGCTTGTCAATGGGCCTTGGTGTTCAAAGCAGCCTTTTCGAGTTGATTTTGTCATCGTTTTGTTATCGTTTTTTTATCACTATAGTTTTGCTGTCACCCCCACAAATACACAGTGCAATGTAACACAATGTAACACATATCACTTGCGTTCATGAATCCCATGCCAGTAGAGTATCAGTAACATGATGTTTACATATATATATACTGTTGGTTATCGTTTCTTTTTCTTCCTTATCGTTTGACAGTGAATGGGCCATATCCAGTACAAAAGGGCACGTGCTTAGCTAAATTCAAAGGACGCAGGTTTCTTTTTACTTCCTCATACGGTATGTAGCCGATCTATCACAGGTGGAGCATGTGGGGTAGGGCTCAAGGATGTGATCAAAGGCGACGTCGCTAAGCCGCTAAGCACCGAACTCATGATGAGATTCTGTCGGATCCAGGTCAACTTTTTAGCTCTGCATGGCTCAATTAGGCATCACTGATGGGGCTGTAAATCAGAAGTTTCAATAGCGGATCTAAAAAGAAATGTTGTAAAGATCAGCCAAATGATTCTCTGATTCTGGCCATCTTTAAGGTAAGGACCTACCTGACCCAAAAACTGAAGATCCTGTGCTGGGCATTTGTGTACCCGGTTTGAGATTCCAGTCAACCACTCTGAAATCATGAACCTCTGACTATCATGGAATGCAGTGACACACGGCTTGGGCCAAGTGAAACATGCCAAGTAGGTACAGTAGTGACAACAGCTTTTGCAACTCAACCACTGCAGTCATGACTTGATCCCCTGGAAGAAGGGTGGCCAACACTCTCCGACATCATCACTGGTTGGTGGTTTCAACACATAAACACATTTCAACCCCAAAATCTCGTCGATTGATACCACCATGACACGCAGACTGCGAAACAAAACATCTTCGAAACCCTCTCAGCTTGCAAAAACCGTCTTTTGCAAAGAGCAGCGGCTGCGAGTTTGAAGCAAACAATTCTCACTAAACCTCTACAGATCTCCACTACCCCAAATCGCAAAAACATGTCGCAAACATGTTGCGACTAATGTTATAGACTGGAGAAAGACCATTGGAATCACACGTTCAAACAAACACTTGGAATCCCACCTTTGAGTCATCACAACTAGGTAGACAGATCCCTCAACCGTCTGGTTCCGTGTCTTCACAAAGATCCAAGATTTGACGTGCATTTGCTTCGGATTCTTGTGCTCCCTCCATGTCGCCCAATTGCTTCTGGTCAGGGTGCTGCAGCTTTGAGAACGCAAAGGAAAACAAGAGGCAATGACTACAAAGTGCAACAGGAACAGGATCAAGAACGAACAAAGCAGAACAAACCATAACAACAAGAACTGCAATAAATCAAAAAGGATATCAACACATAGAACGACAACACAAGGGAAAAAAACAACAACTTATTCCTATACCTCAAGCCAATCTTATCAACCCTCATTTGCAACTACATCTTCATCTTGAACATGAACTCAATCTGGTTTTGTTGGAAAATAGGCTACCCCAAAACCTCCTGCTTTCCCCTTGATCAAATTCCCACCTAATAGGGTATCTAAATCCTCATTCTCAGGTACCAAACCCCATATCTCCCATGATTGCTGGTTGATACCCCTCATGGTTCTTGGTTTATCTCCGGTTCTTGGTTTATCTCCGTAAACATTGCCCAAACCACCAGCTTATCCCCGTAAAGAATCCCTATAACAGCCCCCGTAACATCCCCGTGACAGTTGGTCATATTGTGAACATCCTCATCATTAGCGGTTCAATCCCCATTGCTCAGGGGTTGGTAAATGTCCGACTTGAACATCACCCAACAAAAAGGGGATAGAATGTCCAACAGATTCCTGAAAGTGATATTCAAAATGTTTGATAATCTGATAACCCCAAAACTCCCCGGGCCCCCGGGTCCTGTGCAATGCTCAAGTCCTGAAAGACTCGTGCACCCATCTCGGTGTCCAGCATCTCAGTTTCCTCCAGCACCTGCAACGCCGCCTCGAAATCTGCCACCGCCTCCTCAAGAAGCTGCCCATTGGCCTTGGCTATGCCCATGTTCACCAAGATGTCGGCACCCAAACCTGAGAGAATTTGCTTGGAATCCAGAAATCCTCCAGGTTTTGATGTGAAAATACTCCATTTTACCACAATATCCACAATTCATATGGCCATGCAACAATGGGGAAAATATATGAACATGAGCATATGAAAACATGATAAAAATGTGAATTAAGGGACCGGATAACCCCACAACTCAACTTCTTCCAATAATCAGAAAAAGTGGTTGAAACGGAAGGGAGAAAAGAGAAAGGACAATGGAGATATATGGAGATGGTGGAGGATCGATGATTTTAAAAAATTGTGTGTGAAGAGTTGTGTGTGTGTGACAAAGTTGTGTGTGAAAGGTTGTGTGTGTGACAAAATTGTGCGTGAAAGGTTGTGTGTGTGTGACAAAGTTGTGTGTGAAAGAGTTGTGTGTGACAAATTTGTATGTGCCAAAGCTGTGTGAAAGAGTTCTGTGTGTATTAGAGAGAGATGGACTCACTTGCAGCGTGGATGTCACCAAGCACCACGCCTGCCACGCAAAACGGAGATTGATGTGAGCAAGTCCCACGCCTGCTACGCAAACCGAAGGTGGATGTCTGAAAGCGCCACACCTGCCACGCAAATGGAACGTCGATGTTGCCAAATGCCACGCCTGCCACGCAAAGTGCCGCCGCGTCACGGGCGACAGAACTTCGACCAAGCACACCACCAGACCCAGCCCAGTGCCATAAGAACCACGCCTGCCACGCAAAACGAAGGTCGATAGCGCCACCAGACCCAGTCCCGTGCCATAAGCGCCACGCCTGCCACGCAGAACGAAGGTGGATGTGAGCAAGTGCCACACCTGCTATAGTGTCAGGTTTTTACTTGTATCTAGTTATAAGTAGTGTTACAGAACTTTTAAATTTAGAGCTTAATTTTTGTAAGTTTCTTTGGGTGCTGTTTTTGCGCATTTCATTTTGTTTGTTTTTGTTGTCATAATATGCAAAAAATGGTATTCAACGCTTTCGTCAATCCTTTTGCGCAACAAGAAAGCAGCCATTTCTACTTACAAAACGCAAAATTTGATTTGCGTTTATAAACGCTCACGCAAGCGCACACCACCTTTTTAGCACCACCCCTGTAACAATGAGGTTTGCACAGTGGTTTCGGTTATCACCGAGATGCGGTTATCACCAACCTACGATCCAATCATTTCAAAACAAGTGCAACATCATTACAGTGGCTTTGGTGTTCATATATATATATATATAGATGGTATACGCCGGTATACGCTGGTATACGCTGGTATAGGTGTGGTATACGCGCGGTATACACGTGGTATACGCGAAGCTTTTCTGGTATACGCGTGGTATACGCGCGGTATACGCGCGGTATTTGCGTGGTATACGCATGGTATACGCGTGGTATAGGCTGGTGTACGCTGGTATACGCTCATGACCCCCCAGCCCCAAAACGGAGAGAACCGCCAGCGGTGATCCTTTCAATCGGAAGTGAAAGATCTTCCCAAGTTACTTGGGACATGGCTCAGGACAGATGCAGCGAGGTTATGAACTAAACATTGAACCTTATATCAACGGTGATAACCGATGAGAGATGATAAATTCATTTGGAACATGCTAGACAAGTTTTGCCGGTGAAAACCGCAGGTATTGTTAAAATAAAGTATGCTTTTTTGCTATATGTCACCACATTTTTCAACATACTTAGCTTCTAGGAAAAATGAAGAAAAACCTAGTTTTGTAAGTTTTCCTAAGTCCGAGCTATATAAGTACATTTTTTTACTTAAGTAACTTTTGTAACTAGTACTTATAACGAGATATAAGTAAAAACCTGACACTATAGTGCCACGCAAAGTGCCGCAGCGTCACGGGCGACCAACAGCGACCATGCGCGCCACCAAACCCAGCCCAATGCCATAAGTGCAACGCCTGCCACGCAGAACGAAGGTGGATGTGAGCAAGTGCCACGCCTGCCAGGCGAAAGACCAGTGGATGTCGCCAAGTGCCACGCCTGCCACCCATGCCAGGCAAAGTGCCGCGGCGTCACGGGCAACCAACGGCGACGAAGCGCGCCACCAGCAAAGTGCCATAAGTGCCACGCCTGCCGCGCAGAACTGCCATGCGAAACACCAGTATGACCCTCGTCTGTTGCCAGGGGGGGGGTGAGGCACCTAAAAAAATAAAATAAAATGCAGGGGCCTAAGGAGAAAATGCCAATAAAATGAGAGGGCATAAGGTAAGATAGGAAAACCCAAGCAAAATACAATGGACAGGTACAAAAAGAAAATGACGTCGGCACCCTCCACCTGGCCACTGGTGGACCTACGTTATGCAACTGTTGGACCTCGGGCTCCGGCATTTTCTTTTGGGTTGATCTTGTTTTGTCTTGTTTCCTTCTTTGATTGGTTTTAACCATGTTTAGTCTTGTTTAGTCTTGTTTAGTCCTTTACATTGTTTCCTTATTTGATTGGTTTTAACCATGTTTAGTCTTGTTTAGTCTTGTTTAGTCCTTTACATTGTTTCCTTATTTGATTGGTTTTAACCATGTTTAGTCTTGTTTAGTCCTTTACATCGTTTCCTTATTTGATTGGTTTTAACCATGTTTAGTCTTGTTTAGTCTTGTTTAGTCTTGTTTAGTCCTTTACATTGTTTCCTTATTTGATTGGTTGATCTATTTTAGTTTTGTTTATATATAATTGGTTCCACTTCTGACATCTGGACGGTTTCTAGAAAAGATACAAATAACTATAAATAAACTTAAGAAATCTCATTGGCTGCTGTAAGCTGCCCGTGTGTCTTTTGTTGACCAAGGAAGGCAATAGAAAATGAGGGGGGCCAACCCATTTTCGAAGTTAATGTCCAAATAATGGAAAAGGAAACGAAAAAGGAAAGGAAAAAGGAAAGGAAAAAGGAAAGGAAAAAGGAGAGGAAAAAGGAAAGGAGAAGGAAAAGGAAGAGACAGGAAAAAGGAAAGGGAAGGGAGAGGAAAGGGAAAAAAAAAACAGTGTCTCACACGAACCATTTTTGATGCCAAAAGTTATCGTTTTCGTTATCATTTTATTAGCGTTCGTGAATCCGCTGGAACGTTTCACAAAATGATCAGGCCGTTCACAGTTGTGCATCTTTGCTATGATGCTATCTCTGTCGGTTAACTTGATGGGTTAGGCACCTCAAAAAATAAAATGCACCCACAAAATAAAATGCAGGGGGTCTGACCCATTTTATTTTCATTTTATTTTCATTTTATTTTTTTTATTTTAAAAGGGGCTTCAGCCCCCCCATTCTATTTAGGTACCCCGGACGGGGGTCAGTATGTCGCCAAGTGCCACGCCTGCCACGCAAAGTGCCGCGGTGTCACTCGCGACCAACAGCGACCAAGCGCGCCAATGTGCAGACCCAGCCTGGTGCCATGAGTGCCATGCCTGCCACGCAGAACGGAGGTCGATGTGAGCAAGTGCCACGCCTGCCACACAAAGTACCGCGGCGCCACGGGCGACTAACGGGCCTCAAGCGCGCCACCAGATCCCACCCATTCTCATAAGTGCCACGCGTGCCACGCAAAACGAAGTCGATATGACCAAGTGGTGTGACCAAAGATGGTGTGTGACAAAGTTGTGTGTGACAATGAAAGATGGTGTTGTATGTGTGACAAAGTTGTGTGGAAGAGGTGGCGGAGGAGGCGGAGGAGGACGGAAGGAGGAGCGGACGGGATACAGAAACAAAAACAAGAACCCCACACAAAGATGTGGGGAATTCCACAACCATCAATTTTTGGGATATTTTGGGCACCCAAATTTTAGAGGAATCCATGTGCAGTCCTCAATTCTTTCCATGGTTTACAACGGGTTTAGATCGAGTACCACACAATGCCCGCAACAGTCAGTAACGTTTCTATACATAGGACAAACAAGTGGAAGGGCACAAATATATCCTCAGTTTTCACCAAAAAATGGTTTTGGAGAACTCTGGTTCCTCATTTTTGGAATTTTAAAATTTGAATTTGGAACATGTTGGTTCTCAGTTTGAATTTTCTCCGGCTTTGCCGACTTTTGGATCTCCACTTTTGGATTTGTGGAACACGTTTGCTGGAAGACATAGTGTTCTTTCTCATTAAGACAAATCGCAACAAGTGGTTTCCTTTTTGCAAGAGTGACGAAGAATTACCTGGAGCTGGCAGACTGGGAACGAATCAACAAAAACCACCTTCCACTGGTAGATCTCGACCCGAACATCTCAAAAGGTCTTGAACTGGTGGATCTTCCGCCCCGACAATTGACATCATCATCCCCTGAAACAAATCCCAACCCCATGTTTTTCCATATGGGGGGGTTTCCATACATCATCCATTTTAATAGGATGTTCCCTTATAAACAGTTATACACCGTCCATTTTGGGGTACCCCCATTTCCTTTTACCCCATATGATCCCCCTAAGATCCTCATCCGCTGCCAGGAGTCTGCTCTGCAAAAAGCTATGCTCTTCTGCCAAACTGCGCGCCTGCTCGTGATCTTTCAGAGCTTCCTCCAGGTCGCCTGCTTCCGCCAAGGCCAAGCCTCAGGGGAATCCGGGAAGGCGTTCATGGGAGGTGTTGATGTGATGTTAAGCCACAAAGAAAGGGCAAATGAATGCACAAGAAGAAGGATGCATAATTACCTCCCAGGGTGCTGAAGATAGCTTGTATGAAGCCATGCAAATGGGGATCATATGCACCAGAAAATTACTTTACTTCGAGTTATCCCCACCATGACATCTATACGTTTTGTTACTGGCAAATCTTTTGGCATTCTATCTGACATATCTTCTGGAATTCTTCTGGCATTTTATCTGGCATATTTTCTGGCATTCTATCTGGCATATCTTCTGGCATTCTACCTGGCATATCTTCTGCAATATGTTCTGGCATATCTTCTGGCACTCTATCTGGCATATCTTCTGGCATATCTTCTGACATTCTATCTGGCATTCTATCTGGCAAATCTTCTGGCATATGTTCTGGCAAACATTCTGGCACTTTATCTGGCATACCTTCTGGCATTCTATCTGACATTCTATCTGGCATACCTCCTGGCACTCTATCTGACATTCTATCTGGCATATCTTCTGGTGCCCACTGAGCTCGGAAGGTCCCAGGTTCAGGTCCAGTGGTGCCCAGTGCGCTCAGACCCTTGCAGTTGAGGTCCAGCAGTGGCCACTGCGTGCGGAAGTTGGCGAAGAGCTTGGCGAAGAGTTGGCAAGGCGGAAGTGGACATGGAAGTGGAGGCAGAGGTGGTGGAGGAGAACGAGGAGGAGGAGGAAGAAGAGGAGGAGAAGAACAACGCCGATAAAATCTAACAACCCTCACCTGGCAGGTGGGGAAAAATATGATAACCAGCAACAAACTGGTGATCCTAGACTTCTTAGGTCGATGTCGAGTGGCCGCGCTTGGTGTACAACAAGGCAACCTCTTCCATGTCAATATCATTTGCAGCATCCGCAGCTTGACACGCCATGTCATAAGTTTCAACTGCTTTGGAGGCTTCGCCAGCCTGCAAACTGGGCGGGCATGGTGCAACAAGCGACAGATTTTTGCCACCTAGCCGCCTTTTAACCAGCAAGCGTTTGGATTGACCGATCACATCAATAGAAACACATAGAAATGCAAACGCATTCCCTTTCTATATACATCAATATATATATATATATAATATCATAATATAATCATATTATATACATATATTAATATCTGTTGAGTCTGTTGACAAAAACAATGCTGACAAAATATAGCCAATGATCATGGACATCATGAATTCTCAGAATTCACCCAAACCCAAACTTTCGCGAAGTTTCACCTTTCCCATCCCCTGGCACCTCAAAGTAAACATCGGCCCACGCACCACAGATCTCCGCTGCCAGGGCGCTGGACAAGGGCCCCTGGGTGCTCAGCGACCCCACGGAAGCCTCTAAGGAGCTCAAGGCTTGATCGAAATCTTCGCGTTCCTCGGTGAGGGGCGAAGTCTATGGTTCAAACATCTAAAGACATGGTGATTTAGCGATGAAAGATGGGCAGAAATGGTGATTTAATTTAACCATGAAAAATGGACAAACATGGTAATATAGTTGATGATAGCGAATGATAGTTGATGAGTAATATCATCATTCATTTCCCATTATGAATGATGGTCAAGGATAGAAGTAGCTAATGATAGTTTCTGATAGCTACCCTCTGAAATCCTTTACAGTTTGCTATGGTTAACGCCACTATTTTTTAACAAATAATTCATCTACTTTTACTGTCCATTTTCCATAGCTGTGTCAGATTACCAGAGGGTAAGATGTGGATATATCAACTAAAGTTACAGTAATTTGTCAATTATGGATCAATGATTCAATACTATTTCTCTCCAAAATTTGATGGGGTGATGGGATGATGATTGAGGTGATGATTGGTATGATTTTGGGTCGTTGGTCGTTTGAACAACTGATGATTCACACCACCCGCACCAAAGTTGGATGGTTCTAGATTCCAAATCTAGATGTAGGAAAGGACCAATTCTCTGAGTCCCTCCGTTGCAATTTTTGAGCCATAGCCATGGGGGAGTCACCCAGGGGGATGGTAATCTGCGACATGGCAAGTCTGAAGAGGCCCTGGCTATTAGGTGAGGACCATGAAACCATGTATATATATAATATATACATACATATGTACCATATTATATATATATATATGTATCACATATGTATCATCTGTTGTATATGTATCACATATATTATATATGTATCACACATATTATATTATATCACATATATCTGTATAAGTATCACACATATTATATATGTATATACATATTTTGATTGTTACTATTATCCGTCATTGCCACTATTACGACTATCATGATTGTCAATATCATGATTATTATCATTATTATAGCGAGAATCTAGCACTCATATTTGTAATATATATATATATATTATATAATATCAAAATATTTACCTACTCCTACATTCCTACATGCATTGATCTATTCTATAAATGTATGTAATCCTCTTCTATTTCTCCATGAAAAATCCTCACGACCACTTTACCCCCGGCCCTCCGTTGACCAAGGAACCGCGTAGCACAACCCGAGATTGTAGAAGACTTGCGCCGCTGCATCCGACTCCCCAAGCCGCGGCTGAGTTTGGATCAGCGTTTTGGTCTGCTCAGATTCGAGCAGGGCAGCCTCGATTATCAGCAGGGGTACCGTTTTAGTAGCAAATCATCAAATAAAACAACCAGGATGTATGAAACCGACCAGTGAACAACTTGAACATACATCACATCGCATAGAGAAAAATATTGTATTTTGGGATGCTCACGTACCTACTTTGGAGGTCTTTACGTGGCGTTTACTTCTGAACCAGACCTCTGAAAAAACCCAAGGACCATGCAGAGGCTGTGATATTGACATCCTCATCACCTCTGACAATCTCAGTAGCTTCTGTCCCGAATTGTTGTAGGGGACGTTTTGGCTGCCTCCAAGTTTCAACCCATCCAAAGTCCAAGATGATGTTTCGAAGTGAGCAATCGCCCTAATGACCCTGGAAGAATAAGAGCCCGCATCCATCCACCACATATCAGCAATTTTTGTTGAGGCCCCAGTCGCAAGGACCAACAATGAAGCCAAACTTGGTCATTCCGTCCTATCTGCCAAGATGCTGCAAAGTTCTCTGCTTTGATGTGCGCTTGCGCAGTCAAAGCACTCAGCTCAACAGCCAGCAAGGTATCTTCGGCCTTGGCAGCCTCACACATTTCGCGGCTAGAGGGAAGGCATCCAACAACTACTTGGGTTCTCAAATCAGGGGGGACAGTAACACCCCTTAGATTCACTTTGTGACTCTGAGGTCGTAATTTGCGATTGAGCCAAGCAGCTGACTCTTGGCTATGACGGCTATGATGTGTTATGTTTCCCAATTTTGATGGACCAGTCCGACAGGGCGTGCTGACCACTGTCTCAATTGCGGGCATCAAAAAAAACGCTGTTACTCTGCCGTTCACGCCAAAACCGCTGGTATCCGCTGGTATCCGCTGGTATCTGCTGGTATCCGCTGGTATCCGCTGGTATCCGCTGGTATCCACTGGTATCCGCTGGTTGCTCATGGATCTTCTTGAAGACGTGCCTAGCATTGCCATAAATCATCATTGCCATTCATTGCCATAAATGATTTTCCTATATTTTCCTATTAACATGTACTGACCGATCAACCCACTGACCTACCCACCAGATCCCACCAGTTGGTTTCCGGCCTCCAAGACCCTTCGAGCTGCTTGGAACGCCTCTTGCGCCTGGTTGAGGTCGGGGGAAGCTTCACCTCAGGACAAAGGTTTGCAGGGTTTGTATTTTTAAGCATGTTTGAACTACATGCATGTGAGATGTGGGCATGGTACAAACTTCGGGTACCCAAGGATCCAGGGATTTTGTGAAGCATTGAATTATCTTGAACTGGTTGAACTTCACATAGATAACAATTTGAGCACCTGGGCCTACGTGGCTTAGTTGCAAGTAGGCTATGTCAGAGCATCCAACTGGCATATACTGGCATCATCACAGAGCCTTGCTAACGAGAGGCTCTCGACGCTTTCGATACTTTCATTCTGGATTCCCTTTTGCATCAATGCTGAACCCAAATTCATCCAAAACTTCACTCCAGCCAGTGAATCCTCCAACAAGTTCGACTGGAAAATTTCGCGTGCTTCATGGAGATGTTGAAGGGCGGAATCCACTTCTCCAGTTTTCAAGCATTGCGCTGCCAGATTCACCAAGAGATCCGCCCCCTCTTCGGTATCAAGCGCTTCAGCCTCCTGGAACAGCTTCTTGGCTTCTTCGAACAGCTTCAGGGAATCACAGGAATCACAGGAATCACCAGCCGCATCTGCTTCCAGGGTAGCCATATTGGCCAACAGGCAGGCGGCGGCAAAACCCTTCAACTCGTTTCGATCTTCCAAGATTTCTCGGGCGCTGCGGTAGGATGTCAAGGCTTCCTCTAGGGCTCAAAGACTCCCCGGGGGGGTTTGAAACCACCACGATTTTCACGTCAGTCCAGGGTTCCCTATTATGACCTGCCGAGTCCAATTAGCAACAATTTTTCGGAGGTCACACAAATCATCAGCAGATATTATGTTTTTCTTCGAGTGGGAATGTTCATTTTCAACCAGTCTAATTTCTTGACCTGAACTGTCATTATTTTTGCCGAGTTTTCTGAGCTGGTCATTCTTGATTGTTAAATCGACTGGTCTCTATGATATCATTCATTGTTACATTTCCATATTTGGTCAGGGTTTTGGGTGTCAAACAAATGTTGCCAGACAAAGAAAGTCTCAGTAGATTGGAAACATACACATGCCTAACTATCATATACAATGTATCTTACATCCCATGATATACTATGTATAATGTATATATACATATATACAATATAAAATATCATGTACATATTGAATTGCATCACACAAGTGATATTCATATGAATATATCTAAATCGGAAATGATATATCTATATATATATATCTATAACACATACAATATCTATGAATGTCTTACGTAATGTAGTAATTACAGTGTAGTACATATCTCATATCCGATCACAAAGATCATGTACGATCATGTATACAATATTTTACAATGTTACCAGTTGTTACCCCAAGAATATCAGTCCTGGTAGCCATTGAGCTCTGTTTGAAGATCCCCCAACTTCTGCAAAATCTTCGCTCCTTCCAAGGAATCCAGGAAGCCCTTGGCGTCCGTCTTCTCAACGGCCATGACCAGATTCGCCTCGGCACCTTCCAAGTCATCTAATTCGAATTGGACATCGCCTGATGGCGGAAATTCTCGCGTGCAGAAACATAAATAGTTTGGAAAGATCTCAGGTGGGAGTGAATCTGGAGAAACGTCTAAGGTTTTGGATAAAATCATGATAAAACCATGATGTATCATACTAGAGCCAATTGGGGATGGTCTTTGCAATGTCAGGTGCATTGCAAGACTGGAAAAAAAGATCCGCCGTAAATCACCACCCAGCCACTCATCTTCTCAAGAACTTCAATGCCCATCTTGGAGCCAATAGCCCCAGCTTCTTCCAAGGTTGCTCGAGCTGCTTTGTAGTCCTCCAGCGCATCTGCAAAATTTCCTGTCTCCTCCTTCGCTTGTCCTGCCTGAATCAACAGGCGAACGCCTTCCTTGGAGCGCATCAAACCTTGCTGCTGGAACATCTGCAGTGCAGTGGTGAAGGCTGAAACCACTTCCTCCCAATTTGGATTTGAATCCATGGCTGTTTTGGACTTGGCGACCGCAATGTTGCCTAACAACCTGGCTCCATTCTTGGATTTCAATCTCTTCAAGCCGACAAAGAGCTCCTTGGCCAACTCGTAGGATTCCAGGGCAACTGGGTAGCGACCAGTTTCAGCATGAATGACACCGATGTTCATCAGGATCTTAGCATAGTCCAAACTTTTGGTGTCCACTTCCTCCAAACATTTTCGCGCTGCTTCAAACGCTTGCAACTTGCAACGCTGCATCATGATCTCCTGCGGCCGCGCGCGCGGCCCCCTGCTGGGAGTATCTTTGCCAGGTTATGTCGCCATCTTTAGCCACCAAGTCCTCAGCCACCGACCCTTTTGAAGCAACTTGCGTTGCTAAGGCCTTGAGGGTGCTCTTGGACCGTCTGAGGGATCTGAGGGTGAAGCAAGCCAAAGTCCCAAAGCACGTCGTCGTGAAACACTTTGCGGCATTGCCAACCGGAGAGGCGCCAAGCGAGTCATTCTTGGAGCATCTCGGCCGTGAGAAGAGTTGGTGACCGTTGGAACTTTGCCAACGAACCACCTGAGGAACAGCAGCCATGGCCATGCTGATGCCTGGCGTACCCTCGCGTAAAGCTTTGTGATATAATGTCAAAGATAGCTGGTAATTGAACGTGTTGTATCATTGTCAGAAGAGTTTCCAATTTCTCCAAGAGTGGCTTGAAGACGTCGCATCGTTGCAATTGACCCTTGGATGCATTGAAATTTTCTGGCGTTGCTGTTTTCTACACTCTGTTGGAAATTCGATACTGTGCGACCATCTAAGAAGAATGATTCCAGCTCATGACTTTTCCTCATGGGTCCTTATGGACCAAACTGCGCAATCATGAGCACTTCTACAGCAATTCCAGCAACTGGCAAAGCATATCAAAAAATCATCTGCTTGACACCTGTGACCTTGTGCTTCCATCATCTTCCAACGTCTTTTCACGGCGAGGCCGAACATAAATGCGAGCTGACTGTGCTACCCTCTCGTAAACAAACATGGCAATGGAAAATCCCACATTAAGAGAATGATGTTCTCCTTTAAATTCCCAGTGGGGATTTTCTCTTTTCCATCTTTGATTACCGGCGGGTATCAGTGAAAAATTGATGTTGGAGCTCCCTGCATGTAATGGACCTTCATGGAAGGCGAAAATCAACGAAGCTGCTTCGCAGCTCGGGGTGACACGAATCGGAAAACGGAGCTAGCCAGAGAAAGCCTGATCGATGTCTTCTCTGACCTGAGGTGAAAACGGAGACACCCCAAGTACAGAAAAAAAACATGATCCACGCTCTACAAGAATCATCCAAATACCCTTCTGGCAATTTGAAACAATCAATTTCAACATCATTTCAATGCATTTTGCCTGTAACTTAGCAAACATATAGAAACATGTGTGCAATGATGTGCACTTTACAACTATCGCGATGGTGTAGGACACTTCGCCAAGAAGCCCTGGAGATGCCCTGCAGAAAGAGCCGGGCCACCTGAAACAACGCCAGCGGTGTTATAAAAACTAGGGATTTCACCCAGAAGAGTCATGGAAAAACAACCCTTTTTTAAACTAATCATTCATGGGAAAAAAGAAAGACACATATATCATGTTTTTTTTGATAATTACAGTTTGCTTTGTGAGACTTGAACTCTTTACGCACAAACATATATATATTAATATACGTATATTATATATATATATTTCTTTTGACTGGCAAAAGGGTGAAATATGACTTGAACATATTGGGGACTTGAGCTACGCGAATCATTCAAACGGGGATTTCAACAGTGGGTGCCTGGGCACAATCCATTACCGTTACAACAAGACCACCATCATGAGCATCAGCGCAAACAGAAGCATAGGCACAAACATAGACATAAAATGACATAAACATCATAAACAATCATAAACAATCATAAACAATCATAAACAATCATAAACAATCATAAACAATCATAAACAATCATAAACAATCATAAACAATCATAAACAATCATAAACAATCATAAACACATGTTCGTCATCAACATAATGATGGGTATGGCTCAAAGATGGGAGAGTACCAACGAGATCATAAAATCCACATAAATCCATATAAAGCTATATTATATATATTGTTTTATTAGTAAACACCACATTCTCGGAAATCATCCTTTATAAATAATTCTCTTCGAAGTATCTACCCCGATCGTCAATGGATCAGTCCACAGGTCCACAAACTCCGAGTTTTGGAGGAAATTGTACGAAATCAATGTCTAAGCAGTACAGGGGGACTTGTCCAAGAATGGTGTACCCTCAAATCCTGTGGTGTTTGCCATGTCTAAACAAAAAGGCTATGAGGAGCTGTGTAATATACTTGTTTTCAGGACAAACCCAAACAGGACAAACCCAAATACTCTCATGGTTGCTGCTCAATGTCCCCCACTGTTAATGGTCAATATTCTCCATTCTTGATATTTGATACTTATATAAATAAGTTGAATCATCAAATACCCCACCATGAGCGGTGAATATCCCTTTTTTCATGGTCAAAACATATCAACACATTATGTTCCAAAGGTAACGTCATACCCTATTGTTCATGATCCATACCCTCCATTGTCGATAATTACTTAAAATCATATTAAATCATAAATTTTCGCATTAGTTTTCACAGGGCTGCATCCTATTATAAGTATATACAGATATATACAGTATAAGCCAATGATAAGTCATAAATCCATTAAGCCATTATTCTTACGATTGGATATCCCATTGATCCAAGCCGATTATACAGGATTAGTGATAGTAAATAATTGATAAAATGGATAATCCAATAATATCCATTAATCCACTAATCTGGTTAAATTGTAATATTTTGCTAACCTGAAACAAGGCTGTTTTAGGATAGTTGGCCCTACTAACCAGTAAATGGGGGTACTCTTAAATCATCCATCTGCATAGGATTTTCCATTAATTATAAACCATCCATTTTGGGTTACCCCCATTTCTATCCATTTATGGAACCACTACCCATTATTGTTATATGACAGTGTGTCAAAACCTTGTACCCCTGGTGAACATCAAAATAGCTGGTAAATGGATGTTCATCCCATTAAAAATGGTATTAATAGGTATAGATCCATACCCATATGTTATTGAAAAAAAATGTTTCGGACAAAACCCACAACATCTTCCCCGCGTCCAACCCGTCGAACTGGTTGCGTTCTTTCGGCTCCCCCACCAGTCTCCCACCGGCACCAACGGCTTGTTCGCGGTAGTTCCACAACTTGGACAAGACCTGCCGTGGATCCAATGGGGCTCGGCTTGGTACCTGAAAACGATGGGAAAAAACATGAAACACCACTGACATTTGATGGTTGATCAAGGTTGATCAAGGTTGATCATGGTTGATAATGGCCATTTGGGGGGCCGGTTTGCACAAGCCCTTATACCACAGTATGTGGATGTGAAAATGTTGCAAAGCACACCCCCACCAAAAGAAAAGTATACTCTTGGTAAAATACTGTGCGATCTTTTTGGAGCTTACTGTAATGTAGCAAAGCCAATAATGAACCATCCGCAATGATGGTTTATGACGTTGGATGTGCCGCTATAACTGGGATCATGTTTTGTTATGCCCCCCCTATTTATGTGTTTTGTTACTGGGATGGTTTGTGGCATTGGCTTTGCCAAATTATATTACTATACCATACGCCTCTCGCTGAGCCTCTGTAGCAATGACTCGTTGTTCATTGAAGGGCCTTGGTAGCATGGCATGCAGCTGTAAGGTTTCCTTGCTTTTTTCCACCCAAGACCACCAAATTCGTCCATCAACTGCTGGATTTCCATCAGATGACGGACATTTCAGGGATGACTTAAGACATCTCTCAACCATTGAAAATCTCGCTATGATCCTATATTTTGAGGGGTTTTTCATCCTACCAATTTACCATTCATTTTGGGTCCTCACCCCACCCCTAGGCTTCGCCACAAGGAACGGAACTGCTGGATGATTTCTTGGACCTGGCCATCATCGGCATCCTATAGGGGCGAATCACTAACATATTTTGAATATTAGCGATATCAGTACTGATGTATTTTGATCATATCACTTACTGATATATGTTGATAGATAAACATATCACAAGTAATGGCGATCATTATCACAGTATATCATCAGTAAATCAATACTATCACTGGACAATCACTATGGTAATTTGACTTGCTATTATGCTTGGGCCCCTCGTTAGCACGCAAACATAATCCACTTTGAAGGGGCAACCCCGATAGAACGTTCATTGGCAAGTGGTTGAGAAGCATATGTCCAAGGTAGCCTCTTTGTAATGGAACATCATTTGAATTCAAGGTCTAACCCGGACCCTGGATTCTTTAGAGGGAAGCGTCAGGGATAGAAACACCAATATCTCAAAAGCACAGAGGTATGTGGAAAACCTCCTTTATTGTGCCTAAAGAATGGAAAACTCCCCAGAGCTGAACCACCTGTGGCTCAGCGATGGACGCAATTTCTTTAGCCTGACACGGCGTGTCACGGGCCCAAAAAATCCCCAAAAAACGCAATTCTGTGTGCAAACCGCGCCGTGGGATTCCTTATGACTTTGCCTTTCAAAGTCAGGATAGGGATGAACCATGGATAGGGTATCTTTGGGAATTTTGTTCAGTTTTTTTCAGCTGAGGCCGAGGGCGTTTGCCAGGATCCGTTCATCAGTTCCATCCGGAGTCATCAAACCTCTCGCAAGTTGTTGGGTCGAGAGAAGGCACCAGTTTCTTGTCAGCAATTTTCGGGCCAAAATCTATTGTGAGGGATCCCTATGAATCTCAAGTCACAGAGTTTACTTCATCTTTACACCATGTTCCAACAACAAAGGACACCCTTGGCATTCCCCTGAAACTGGTTTCGGGGAAAATCCGCAGGCACCATGCAAATCCTCCATGTTTGAAGCGTCGCAACATCTCGAAATGTGGATCTTCACTGGCAAAGCCAGTGAGTATCCGAGCCTAAGCTGCCACTCCCCGGAAGGTTCCAGGAGGCAGCGAGTTGCCGTGCATTCGCACCCACCACCTGCCCAGCCAATCTATGACGGCAAGCAGCGTAGGCTTGACTCATCAGTGATAGAGCATGATAGAGCATGATAGAGCGATACATCATGATACATTCCCTAGACATGTCTTGGAATTGTGTGCTTCCATGAAACAAACAACTAATATCAACTAATAAGATCTCACAAAATCATCCGATTTTGTAAACAGAGACTTTTGCTGAGCATCGCCCATGTCTGGTGTTTTACCCACCACCCTTCGGGCGTATCTGTAACGGACCTTTGCCATCTCGTCCAGCAAAAGATCCTGATGGGCTGATGGGCTGATAGATATGGAAAGCCTGTTGATGTTTGGTATGTTTGATGGTTTGATGTGGATTGATTTGCATTGATGGCTTTGTTGGATTCTGGATGGATTGATCATCAACTGCCTTTCAATGTTGATGCAAGGTCTGGGGTGTCCCAAAAAGTTACCAGTAATTGGGCACCCTGCACGTGGATTACCAACATATCAACGCATTGGCTAACTTTCATCATGATCAACGTTTGTGACACCTCCTACCCCATCTTACCCCTCTATAAATGGGGGGATCCCCAAATCATCCATGTTCATCGGCTTTTCCATCATAAACCATCCATTTTGGGGCACCTTCATTTTATGGAACCCCAGTGGATTTTCGCATCTCTCCAAACTCCTGCAGCGCCGGAGCAACTCTACGACTGGATGCCTCACAGCGTGAACAACGCGTACGTCCACATGAAGACACATGTGCCATTACATGTATGGGAACGAAAGAGGGCAAAGGATGGTGTGTTTGCTAACTGCCCACCTTGATTCCCTGCTTGCTTGGCTACCTTTCCTGTTGCTGTTTGAGGAGCTTGGGGATCCTATCAAGCAGGACCAAATTTAAGGATCGAATGGACTTGCAGGTTTTAATCTGTTTGGAGCATGTCAATCGGCCGAGACAGAAAGAAGTGAGAGACGTGAAATAGAGAGAGCAGAAAAGAAACTCGTTGAAGCCTGTCTCACACAGACTGACAATCCCTTTGAGTGCATGGGACCCGCACTGGCGGTTCGGCTTATAACAGCATGACTTATCTTGGATGGGTCAAACTTGGGCAAAGAATTGCTGGATTATTGAAAAAAAGAACTACCAAAAGAAAGATACAGGTTGAGGGTGCTGTGTTGAAATGTGTAGAATGTCTCACAATATAATCCAATGATATCCAACGTCCAGTCGACTGCCAAGAAGACCTCCAAGTTCTGCCAATGCACCTCCGAATCTCCGTGCTCGGCTGGCACACGGCCTAAAACCAAGCTTGCCAACCTCAGAGGTAAAATCCTGGGAGAGGTACTGTTGAATTGAAAAAAGTGATGCGACCACACGCAACCTTGGTTGATCAACTAGGATCAATCAAAATCAACCAACCTACAGTACTCGATAAATCTTTGGGTAGGGATCTCATCGCCTGAGACTTGGGCTTGTCTGCTAAGTTGCTCGCCTCCTGACAACAAACTGCAAAGATTCGTCAAAGGATCATCTTGGCGGACCTCAAAGTGTTCAACCCCAAGCGTGATACCCATCGCATACCCATCGCCAGCAGATCATCTACGCGTATCTAGGTGCACTACACACGGAGTAGATGACCTGTTGGAAGCTTCACATTCACTTTTCCAGTCTTTGGAATTTTAGGGCGTCCGTTTCTGATCCATACCATCTCATACCCAAATTATCCCAATTATCCAACTTGTTGGTTATTGGCTGGTCAATTGGCTATGTGTCAAAACCCTGCTATCATGGTGAACCCCAAAATAGCAAGTAAATGGATGTTCATTTCCTCCAAATATTGGACCCATAAGTTCTTACTCCATACACCATACCCAACTATGTCCAACAAACCAGCCATATTGTTCTATGTTTGATAATCTTCCATTCTCACACACTTCGCTGCCTCAGCAGTTGATTTCTCATCATTGCGAGTTGCTGCCTGACAGGTGTGGACAGACATGAACTACCTTGTCCTTATCGATTTAAGGGAGAAAAAAATGACAAATGCACAGCGGTGCTTTTCAATAGTGCGTGTTGGGTCACTGAGCACGCTGCAACATACGAGGAAAAACCAGTGGCCAAGTACTTCAGACCTGATTTCCAACTTTTTCCGAAATCTTCTAAGACTGAAAAACCTAAAAGTTGAAGCTGGTAGAGAGCTATACCAACTTTGTATTATCAACTTTGCAGTTTCAAGGAGCGATTCCAGCTCCTTCTAAGGATGACTCGTCAATCAATCTTGGCCCAACACGTTCTGGATTTGCTTGACGGTCCAAACCTGGTGCCGTGCATGTGGTTGGATCCTAATTCATCATGGATCATCCAAAAAAAAAACGTGTTGGATCGTTTTGTTTTTTTTTGATTTTATCACCATATTATACCCCCCCTACCAACCAACAGCATACCAACATTTATGCTGATGTCGATGTGAGGTCGGTAGGATTCGGTGGCAGTGGCTGAGCTGATAGCCCTTGTCACTTCCATAAATGAAGGATGCCAATGCCTCAGGAGTTCCGTGCGCCATGACCAAAATATACTGCGGGATTTCTTGTGGGTCTGCCAACATCCAGACTGTGATCCTCTATGATCCATGTCCAAACTAGAAACCTATGGGTTTGTCTGAAAATAGTGTACCCCTAAATCCAATGGTTTTGCTGATCATTATCCCTATTAAATGGCTATTTCATTGGGAATATACCCAACATTTTCAGACAAACCCCTATAGTTTTGATCCCTAACTCTTGGGACTTCTGAGCATCTCACCTTGCTGATGCGAGGATTTGAATCGCTGATCAAACGCTGGGCGACATATGGCCTCGCTGGGAAGCCACTGGCCGCTGCTCCACAGAACTTCAAATTCGATCAAATTCGCAGTTTCTTCGTGCTTCATTTTCATCTATATCAAGGGCAAAAAAAATCAGACTTTTTGATATTATACTCCAATATATTCCAATCAACATCAATCAACATTGAAAATTCAAACAACAACTGAATATGATATGGTGGTCCCGCCCCAAAACCAACAAAACAAAGACAAACTCACCCAATTGAGCTGCAAACAAGCACTCGTTGACCACAGAGTATGACGAATTGTTGCCTGCGCCAGTAGCAGTAAAGGGCCATTGGAACAGCGTCCGGCTTGGCAGTTTCCGAGGCTGTGGCTCAAACCAATTCCTTCCAGAACCGCAAAGGCTCGCGCAATGTAAAAGAAGTACGGGGGCCTGGTGCAAAACATGTAACCCCAATCCAGGATGGGGAAACCCGCTCCTAAGAGAACTATGAACTGATGGACATTTAAGCAGGGTACTAGTGCACAACATTCCCCAAGTGTTTGTGGAACTGCTGCTGATTTATCTATCTGCCAACTGCCAACCCTTTCTTGAAACTCTATGAAACTCTGGGGCATTGACACTCGGAAAAGATTGCCGTACTGTTGGCTCAGTCCTGGCAATGATTGGTTTGAGCATCTTTGAACTATTCCAGTTATGCCAGCGAACAGTTCATGTGCCTTGAATCTGGGAGAAGAGGGCATTCACATCCATCTCGGCCAGGGGCAACAGGTCAACAGGATGCACTTTTAGGCCGTTTCCGAGTTTCCCACAAATGCCGTTTTTTCCAACAAACCAAGAAATTGTGATGACCTACATTGACATTATCTACATTCATATATTTTGTAGGTGTAAATATATATATATATAATATTATATTCTTATGTATATATATCTTAGGTGCCAATGACTAAGGAATTGTCGGACATACCCCAAAATCAAAGAGGTCCATGCATGAGCAAACATCCCTCTGCTGGCGCGGTTCTACTAATCCTATGTCATCACACCAACTTGCAGAAAAATCAGAAAAACAGAGAAAACATGTTTTCAATCAAATTATGCCAAATCAAAAAAAACCTGCAAAACACAGGGAATGCAACAAAAATATCTGGCACACAGTGGGAACAACATGACATGGCAAAGGGCATTTTCATGAACAAATACGTTGAACATCGTTGAACAATATTGAACATATCGTGACTCATGATGCACGGCATTTTCGAAATATACGCGACCTATGCCAAGTGCCAGACCACTGGAGTAAAAAAAAAAGTAAGAAAAAAACACTGCTTACTGCGCCCTAAAAACCATTGATTTACTGCACCCTTGCTTAAACATGCTTAAACATCCCACCGGGTCGGAAATTGAACGTGGCGGTAGGTGAATTTTGGAAGTTCGTTTTTTGTGCAAACCATGGTATTTACAATACTTTCTGACGGATGATTCGTTCGCGGAAGACCTTCATTTCGCATCAGCACTTTGTGCTGCCAAAAACGAAGCAATTCTGCGAGACTTCCTCAATGTTTGAACTTGACAACGTCAAAAACGAAGCTATTCTGCGAGCCTTCCTCATTTTTCGAAGTTGACAACATCAAAAACGAAAGAATTCTGCGAGACTTCCTTCAAAAATGGAAAGTTGAGTGCAGAGCTGCGGCCTCGTACCAATGCGTTTTTGCAATTTTTCCAGTCCACCTGTCTAAAGTACTGCGCCTGCCACGAAAAAGTGATGCCAGGTCATACAAAGTGCTGCACCTGTCACGCAAAATCATCGCAGCAAACCTGAAGATCTGAGGCTCCAAAATGTAACCCTTCTCAGGAAATCAGCGCCGGGACCTCCTAACAGCTCTGATGAAGATGTCTTTTGTACTGTGCCTGCCCCGGAAAATGCATCTTTTCCCCACGCCTGCCATCGTTTTTGGAAATGCTACAAAACCCCCGGGACAAGGCCAAGATGGCGCGGACATGCCGTCGGGCTTGCTTCTTAACTTTGAAGCCAACGTTCTCTTCCTCGTGCCGCCCTTGCAGATGTAAAGTGAAAGCTTTGCTGCTCAGGCCGGGCAAATCCACCTCCTCAACTGTGAGGCCCAATAGAATCAGCAGACTGGGCCTTGGCCCGTAGTACGGCCGCGTGAGCCGTTCGCAGAAAGAGCGGAAGACTTTCACGCAGTGTGTCCCAGCCGCTTTGGAAGACGTGGCTCACAAACCTAACTCCCAGACGTGGGCTGGTGAAAGGTGCTTGAACAAGAGTGCTGTTGTGCTGCAAAGTTATGTTCTTCACTAGGTGTGTGACAGTGAGTGTGAGTGTAAGTGCAAGTGTGAGTGTGGGTGCAAGCGCGAGTGTGAGTGTGAATGCAAGTGCGAGTGTGGGTGTGCGTGTGGTGCAAGTGCGGGTGTTGTAGACACTTAGCTCAGATCTTCGGCTTCAAAAACGGCAGTGGCGGAACACAGACTTCACCCTTGCCCCCACAGAAACCCCTGGAGTGGTAAACCCTGCAACCTAGGTCAGTTTACCCTCGTTTAGTCCTAAGTCATTAGACTTCATTAATCTAAAATGGCCTGAACGATGATTTCCTGCCAGGGGCCCAGCCATTCAATTCCCATCAACCTTTCATTGGAAAACCGTTTAATATCCTCTACAATTGTTGGTTAACGGGAATCTGGATTTTGAAAAACCCCACTGTATGACCGGTAGTCAAAACTGCTATATATAAACATCAACCAGCGACCATTTACCCATTATATCGCTATTTGCTGTCTGTCACCAAATGTTTGATGGCCGAAGCCCCCATCTAGAACAAAATAACCTAAATCAGAATCTAAGAGATGGTGAAATCCCCATCAAATGACTATATATCATTGTATATATATATAATTATATATATGTATATATCTATCTCTCTCTCTCTCTCTCCCTCTCTCTCTCTCTCACTATGATATACTATGATCACATGATCATCAACCAACTAGTATCAGAAGAATGAACCCAAGGGGCCTTCAACACGACACCTGAGAGCCGCTCCTGCTTCGCCCCACCACCGCTGCTCCACTGGCCGTAAACATTGGCCAAGGTGTCTACGACCTGGTGATGAGCCAACAAATTCTGGAAGTCCTTGGGTGGAAAACGATATAGAATATATAGCATGGATGGGAAAAAACGGGAGATTACCCAGCTAAAGAAGGTTATTAATGGGATATTGTTTGGGATTTTGCATGGTCAAAATAATATGGGATATTAGTATTGCTTGTAGATATTTCTGATATCGTATGGTTAATATGGTGAATATCTCATCAATCAATATAAGTTTGTTGATATGATATAACCACTAAACATGGAGTATCATGGAGTATCCTGGGATATAATCAATAGAATGGGGGTTTAATGCGATTTGCAGGTATTTCTGGACAATGGGGTTTTATGGGGGTATGATGGGGATAAAGTGTGGATACAACTAACAATATAAGGATGACATCTGGATACCAAACTGAACAGTTCGACCATGTGAGGGACATGCCGAGACCAATTCCCATCAGTCCAGTGACGTCGCTACGTGAGGTTGGCATAATTTGTCCAAATGGACGGATGGATGGGAGAAAATCCATGACCATGATATGAAACATTTTCAATTGTTGGGATTGATATGAAACAAGATGGAAACCACCAACAAGTATATAACCAAGCAAGGAACAACAGCATCCTGAAATTCTACTGGTTAATTAGTTCTCCTTTTCATACTGTACTTGGCCAAATCGCAACCCATGTCTCATCCAAAGTCATGTCCACTTGTCGCATCTTCTTGTCAATCTCCATGCCTCGCTCTTGACAACATCATCCTCGGTGGGCGGTGAACCCTGCGTGCTGGGGCTTCGTTTGGCTTGCCAACATGTCACTTGGTATCGAAACTGCATGGAAAAATTGAACAAATAGGACAAAATACATTGGGAGATTTTGTCATTGAACCCCAAGTTCCTGTGGTATATTTTCCATTTCGAAGTTCCACTTTTTCACAGCGCTTGGGAGCAAACCTCCATCCCTTCTGGCACAAAGCCAATGGTCACCAAATCCCTCGGAACAGGCTCGTAGTCCTTGGTTCCAAAGAACTGAGGCATTCGCTGCACTTTGTATACGGCGGGCTGAGACAGCTGAGCCCTCGACGCCCGACACCAAGTGAGAGATGTGCTCAATGTATGCCACCTGCAAGACGCTTTTTCACGCGGTTTCATCATGTGATAATACCCAACATGTCTCCCACAAAATTGGGTATGGGCTGATGGTGATGGGGGACATCAATTTGCAGCACCAGGTTGGTGGTTTCAGCCAGCCCGGCTCAAGTACCTACCAGGGGTGGGTCGTGCCTGCAAAACTTGAATGTTTCTGATCCCCGCTGTTGAGAGATGACACTGATCTGTTCACCCCCCAATGGGGCAATCTGGAGAGGGGTGCCAAGGTTTCTGTTGTGGTCGACAGTTTGGTTCACACCACTGAGTCGCTGCTTGTTACTACTGTCCCAGATGCCAGGCAGGTCAAGGTAGTTGGTGCAATTGACGAGAGGGTTTGAGGCTGTCATCGATTGACCCTCTTTGATGTGATCTTTGACAAGGTAGGACCTGTGGTTGAGCTGTTGTTGACCGATCAGTCAGTCGTAATCGCCTATGGACTTCGACCAGCTGAGGATCTGCTCAGGTGTGTTGAACTGTGCTCTGGCATTGCGTGCTCTAGCCTTGGACTTGCTGCTGCTGGGTTCCAACATGTCTGCAGTCTTGAATGGCGTGCCCCGTTTGTGGATCTCCAAAGTGCTTGTCATCCCGGCATTCCTGTGATCCTTGGTGACATTGCCGATCCTTCTTGCCTCAAAGAAGTGGCGCAGCTAGTTGATCCACCTTTCACTATGACCTCACTCTTCAGGTGGGTCTCAGGGTGGCCCAAGTGATGATCGATCTAGCACTGTCCCTGCACTGTGAAAGCATGTCATTTGTTCCAGTGCCCAACTCCTGTTGGTTGAGAATGTGACACAAGCCCGTACCAATCAGTTTGTGCGTTCTTGCCTAACAGCTTGTGACCAAGTTGGGGTACCATCTCAGTGAAATGGCGTTGAAGCTTGAGGACAACCGGCGTGCCCGTCGTGTTTAGTGGCTTCCCATCCGTCCCTGGGTCCTTTGACTTTGCATGACTGGCCCAAAAATCCCAGTTTGAACATTCGAGATGTCATGCCTTTTGTCAAGACTTGTCGCCCGAAATCCTTCGTGAGCTTCAACTGTCTGCACATGAGGTTGCCCAGTTCACACTTGATGGGTCGTGGATAGACGCAGATGCTCGACCATATCTTGCGGCTGAGAAGTTTCCATTTTGACAGAGAGTGCGTTGGTTTCGTCAATTTCTCAAGCAATTCTGGAAGGAAGCGGGAGTGACAGTGGCCATGGAGTAATGACGTGCTCCAAGCCTATCTCCCAGCTGCATCGTTGCCTTGGGATGCACGTACTCTGATCGAAGTTGAACATTGGCTGGAGGGTCAGTTGTCTGAACCCTGTGTTAGAGATGCTGGTGTTTTGCGTAGCCTGCCGCTCGCTACAATACGTTGCAGCATGCAGGTGCGACCGTGCCTAAGGTGCTTAGACTGTACCCCAAGACTGAGGTGCCTCGCTCCTTCCACTGAGCAGGCATGCGGACCGAAAATCTGGCGAAAATCTGGTGGTCTCAGCCCGAACTACCAGCCCATACTGGCATGGTATGGCATTGTTAAACAAAAAAATAAACGATTTGAATTTGAACCCACCAGTCATAGCAATTCTTATCCCTATGTTTGAGCACATTGTGAAATGAACATGGTTCAACCATCAACCAGAAATTCCGTGCTCTGAGGTGCCCGACCCGGAAGCTGGGGTCTAGGTTTGTGACTAAGCCCCAGTCCAAAATGCACAGCCTGCAATGGCAATCAGAAGTTATCGCAAGAGGTGTGGCAAACCCTACCTCCTTTTCAATTCCATGACCCAATGTTCATCTCTGACCTCGCTTTACAACGTCGCACTTGGCAGTTTTTACCTTTTTTCGCGTCTTCAAACTTTAACCTAGCTCGTTTTTTGTGCGACAGGCCCACCTCGTTTGAACCTAGTTCTGGGGTTAAACAAACAAGTGTTTCCACCCAAAGACTGCACATGACTAAAAATACATCATCCGAAATCTCACCTGGTACTGGGAAATCTACATGTTCATCCATGTTCAACAAGCAGATTCTCATAGATTATCCTTTGTATCGAAGTAAGGAAATCATCTTCAGTCGCAGAATTCTTCAGTGTGAGATTCGCACACAGCCTTTGGAGCGGCATAAGCGAGTCAAAACCCAAATTGAGCAATACATGTCTTGGCAACACTGAGCAAATCTTCATCTTCAGAGCAATCAGAGGTTGTCTCAAAACTTGGAGGCCCCAAATCCGGGCCAAATCCTATGGTTTACATAAGTTCAACATTGTTTCCATTTGGAATGCCTGCGAAATCCATCAACCTGCCAGGTACTGTATCCGTTTTCACCTCCCATCCGGAGTCCGAAGGAGGTTGCCCGGGTGTGGATCCTTGATTTGTCCGTGCCGAAAGTTCAATCACTCAGCTCCAAATCGGATGACCATCGCCTTTTTGTTGCAAAATCATATCATATTGCCATGTTTTGATATGTTCTGACCCTGGCAATATGAGGTAATTTTCCTCGTGAACCAATTCCGGGATTTGTAAGTTTCTAAGATGAGTGAGGCCGGGGCCGCATGCAGCACACCAGTCTCCAGCATCATTGTCAGGTATGAATTCATGGCCACGGAACAAAGTTTTGTGACATCCTGCAGCGCCAAAGTCCGCTCCGTGCATGAAAAACATGCGCCAAGCGTCATCTTCGTCGAGGTTTGGGGAGACTACTTCGAGTCAAAATTCAGTGGAACCACTGAGACTTGAAAGTTCAGGCCCCAGCATGCTTAATCTCCTAAAAATGAAGCACCGTACAAGCACAAGAATGTGTTTTTATCAACCATGGCTGACCCAGCCATGGCTGATTCTCCCCCTGCATGGATGGGTGTCATCCTCAATGCTGACCTTCCTGACCACAACTGTTGGGTGTTTTTCTGTGGTGGTTGGGTCACCCGTTCCAAACAAACACAGTATAGTCATGTATAGTCTATATTGTCAACTGGGATCATCATACCCTTTCTGAAAAAGGAAAGCAAACCATATTTGAAACATTTTGAAACCATCTCTTCCGTCGTGTTCACAATATTCCGCGTCAGTTCTTTATAATGATTCATTTTGAATGATCCCAAACGCAGGTTCAAGTCTCTATACATCCCCCATTTTGTTGGTTCATCCCTGTTTCCTCATGGATGAACCCGTCCTCAGCACTACTGGTCTCCAGGCGCTCGCCCACGATCCACTCGGTGGTGAGAACCTCAGGAAAATGGGAATAGAAACAGCAATTACAATAATTGCTATAACATGCTATAACTGTATCGTCTTATCATCTTATCTTCTAATATTTTGTAGCTACTAGTGATTCATACTGATTCATATTGTACGTCTAAAGTCAGGAATTTGTCGAATTACAAGAATTATTGGTCTTTCCACGATGTCGGCTCTCACCCAACTACCCCAAGATCGGTCCAGATCCAAGGCACTTTTTGACTTGAACATGAATCAACAGGTGCTGGAGCAAAAACCTGACTCAAGGAGACATCATGTTGGGCCACCCTGTTTGCTTACAATTGTCGGGGTCACATGGGGTCACCCGATTCAAAGCAAAAAGAAGACATATCCTGTACTATTACTAATACAGCCATTCACAAACAACAGGAGTCAAAACTGAATATTCCTGAGAATTATAGCCAGTCCCTCAATCTCATGCGTGTTGTGCGTCTCCACTGTCATCCAATTTGGGTGAACTCTGACCCATCTCACAGTCCATCAAGTCCAGCGTTCTCCAGGCAACAGCTCCAGCCAAAGGTGTGCTCTCGATGTCGTGGGAGAAGGACTTAGCATTTAGCGCCTAGACGACAGGGCTGGATGTTTAATTGACCCAAATGATGGGGGTATCATCAACATTCATCAACCATATGGATATGAAGTCACCATGAAAATCACCAAGGTTTCTGTGTAGTAAAATCCTTCTAAATCAAATCGTGGCAAATTTCGCCTGTCCGATCTGTCCGATCTCGCTGGGAGTTGCTACAATTCAGAAACAACCACGACGGATTTCCCGTGGCTCATTTTCCCATCAACGAGTCTGGATGGCGCGAGACCAAGCCGATGACATCGGAGAGACCAATCAGGATATTATCTGAGATTATCCAGCCAGAAAACAGCTGAGGCATCAGGAAAGTGAAATCATTAAAATTTAATAGATTGATAGCGACAAATGATCTCTGAGCGGCCCTCAAATTTTGGACCTTGCATACCCTCCTGTAACCAAGCGTGGCAATGGACAATTCTCCATTTATCGAAAGAAGTTTAGACAGTTTAGAAGCCAAACTTCCGACAATATGAACAGATAAAGCAGCAGAGGAGGGAGGCAGAGAAGAGAAAGAGTGAGAAGGAGAAGAAGAAGCAGAAGAAGAAGAAGAAACAAAAAAAAACAGAGAAAGAGTCAGAAACAAGATCAAAAAGGTAGAAAAAATGCAAAAGATCGTGTTTTTCCCAAGATAGATTAGATATATAGATTAGATAGATTAGATAGATTAGATAGATTAGGTAGATTAGGCAAGATAGATAAGATAGATAAGATAGATACGATAGATAAGTTAGATAAGTTAGATAAGATACATAAGATAGATAAAATAGATATGATAGAAAAGATAGATAGGATAGATAGGATAGATAGGATAGATAGGATAGATAGGATAGATATAGAATATTTATAGTTGACCTTGCCAGCTAGAAACCTCATCCATTTATAGGTGGTATTCCAGCTAGCAGCCAGCCACGTTTAATGACACCGGCAGATAGATCTGCTCTGACTTGCATTGCCACTGGTATCCACTGGTGCCTCTTGTCGATAGTCCAGTTCTCCAACAAAGCCCTTGCCCCATTCGTCCACCCTCAGCTTGTTCCGCTTCACGATAAATACCCAATCTCCAGCGAAGGTGGGTTGACCAGCCGCTACGGCTACCCAAAATGGAGTGCGAATGGACCCACAAATGACTCGTTATTGTTGTTTGCATTCAACATCATTCAACCATCCAATTCATGGGGCCAATATCATCATACTCAGTGAGGCTTAAAGATTGGGTTACTCCCTGAAAAGGCGAGCTGACATCCTGAGGTAAGGACAATCCAGGAATGTCGGTGTTCAACCCAGATCTGGTGAGATTGAGGAACCACCTGCAAGAAAACTGTTTCAGCCAAGTGTTGGTTCCTGATCACAAAAGGCGTTCCGAATAAACATACATTCAAAATCATGGTGATCATGCAAGTTCAAAGTATTTCAAAGTAATGAAGTATACTGATGTATACTAGTATACTGTATATACTAAGTAAAGTTTGTGTGAACATGTGTGAACCAGAGGTCTGTCTGTCACAATATGTCAAAACCGACGTGACCTCAAAGGACCAGAGCCCAGCTTGAGAAGGTATAGGTCCTTGCCGCGAAAACAGGGTCTCAACACTGCAACAAATCCATCAGCTCCTGCAATCATGACTAAAATATACTAAAATTACTAAAATATACTGAAATGTTGGCTTAATGTCATCTTAAGTCCACATTTTCTTGTAGCTTGACTCCGCGATTTGATCACAAACCACTTTATTCCCCCTTTTGGATCTTTTTAGTTGGGTAACCATGCATAAGGACACACCGTGACCCTGGGGTCTGACTTAGGCCATCTTGGCATTCCCACCAACGCGACCACTTCCTCCATCCCAGGACGCCTCAAGTGGGGTTTCTACCACTGCATTAGGGTGGTTGAAGCATTAGGAAGACTTGACGACATTTAAACATCAATTTAAACATCAAGGATCATCAAGGCATGTGGACTTGGAAGATTTGGAAGGACCTGTCGGAATTTCAACCCATGGTTCCATCATGTTCCATCAGTGCTGGGCCATGCTGGGCCACCTGTTGTAGAGCAATCCTTGCATGGACTAGGCATGTTACAGGATCTGCAGGGATCCCTAGATCATCCTAGATCCCATAGCGTCCCTTAGCTCTGCAGGTCCAATTTTCGGAGCCAGGACTCAACCATCGGATCGCATTGGTCAAGGCGCTGAACTTTCACAGCCACTTCAGGACCGTCTCGCAGCTTGGCACGGTAGACCTCTACAGGCGCGGATGCCTCTGACCTTCGTCTGCCTTGGTGCCTTGAAACATTTTGAATTCATTAGAGAAACATAGAGAAACACAGAAGATGGAGCAGTTATATCGTATTCTGACCTGTTGTTCCCAACTGCTTAACTTAGGTTTCTCTTGTATCTTTCTGAGCACAGCACTTGAACCTGAGCTTAGAAAAAGCAATTTCAGCTCTGTGGTCATTTCGCCATTGAACTGGAAGATTGCATTGACGCACGTCGCATTTTTTTTTACTCGGGGGGTACCCCTGACATCGGAATTTCGCACCTGCCCCAAGGAAGCAGATGCAATAGGTGCAGGTGAGATCTCCTCGAAAATCTCCCCCACCGGCCTTGCTGAGTTGAATGCAAACCGTAGTCAGATGGAGCTGGATGTTGTCTTACAAATGACTAATCCATGTGGTTGCTCCCTTAAAAATCGGAAATGAATATCTTGAATCTACAGTAGATATCCTTGATTTTGGGTAACCAGGGAAACCATCATTCACAACAACCAGACAACCATTATAGACAAAATACAGCAACACGACAAGCACTGGAAATGGTTGACTGACGCGTTTCTGGAGGCTGGATAAGTTGCTGGCCGGCCCAGCTGAGACTCAATGATCTCATCCGCTTTGGCGGTAGGGAAAGGTGGCACACGATCCTGTCAAACAAAAAAGGCTAAACTCATGGCTTAATAAAGATCCTGGGGCAGTCCCGGAGGAGGATGAACAAAACAAAGTGGAAAAGAATGGGAATGATCTCTATCCACCTGCATGAAAAACCCCGACCACCGTAAGTCCCATCAGGCCCCGGAAAGACACATCATGGCCACTGGCCACAATGTTTCACGAAAGTCACATCACCCCCAAGAGAAGTCACATCAGTTCAACGCAGTCCCCATGGCCACACGATTTCCGTGGTTTATCGAAACAAACAGAATTTGACGGTACGATTAACCAAACCTAGGGAAACATGGATTCAACCCCCCATTGTTGCTGCCTTCAACCCCAAGTTTGTGAAATCAATAAGGGTTCAGAATAGTTTTTGGATTTTGTTTTGGCTCAGGTTTTGGAATTTTTGTTTAGGGTTTCCTTTAAGGGTTTCTTATCAGGATTTCTTATCAGGATTTCCAAACGTTCATGTGGGTTTCTTTGGGGTTTCTTTAGGGTTTCTGATGATTTCTGTAGGGTTTCATTTAGGGTTTCATATAAGGTTTCATTTAGGGTTTCTTTAGGGTGTCATTTAGGGTTTCATTTAGGGTTTCTTTAGGGTTTCATGTAGGGTTTCTTATCAGAATTTCTTATCAGGATTTCCAAACGTTCATGTGCGTTTCTTTAGGGGCTTCTTTAGGGTTTCATTTAGGGTTTCATTTAGGGTTTCTGAAGGGTTTCATTTAGGGTTTCTTTAGGGTTTCATTTAGGTTCTTTAGGGTTTCTGTAGGGTTTCATGTAGCGTTTGATTTAGGGATTCTTTAGGGTTTCATTTAGGGTTTCATTTAGGGTTTCATGTAGGGTTTCTTATCAGGATTTCTTATCAGGATTTCCAAACGTTCATGTGGCTTTCTTTGGGGCTTCTTCAGGGTTTCATTTAGGGTTTCTGATGGTTTCTGTAGGGTTTCATTTAGGGTTTCATTTAGGGTTTCATATAAGGTTTCATTTAGGGTGTCATTTAGGGTTTCTTTAGGGTTTCATTTAGGGTTTCGTTTACGGGTTCTTCAGGGTTTCAGTTTGGGTTTCATTTAGGGTTTTTTAGAGTGTTGTTTAGGGTTTCTTTAGGATGCCATTTAGGGTTTCATTCAAAGTTTCTTTAGGGTTAATTTATGGTTTCTTTAGGGTTAATTTATGGTTTCTTTAGGGTTCATTTAGGGTTTCATGTAGGGGTTTCTTATCAGGAGTTCTTATCAGGATTTCTTTAGGGTTTCTTTGGGTTTCACCTAGGGTCTTTAGGGTTTCATTTAGGATACAAACAGGAGAGAATAAGGCAAAAGAAAAGAAGAGAACGAAAACAAAGAGGCAGTAAAGACAAGAAGCAGAGAAGCAGAGGAGCAGGAAGTAGAGCAGCAACAACACATGACTGAAGAAAAGAAAAAGTATAGTAGTATAGAAGTAGAAAGGCATAGAAGCACAAAAGCAGAAAAGCAGAGAAGCAGAGAAGCAGGGAAAGCAGAGAAGCCGAAAAGAAAAGAAGCAGGTAAAGCAGAGAAGCAGAGAAGCATGAAAAGCAAAGAAAGAAGCAGGAAAAGCAAAAAGCAGAAAAGCAGAGAAGCAGAAAAGCAGAGAAGCAGAAAAGCAGAGAAGTAGACAAGCAGAGAAGCAGAAAGGCAGAAAAACAGAGAAGCAAAGAAGCAGAAAAGCAGAGAAGCAGAACAGCAGGCAAGCAGGAAAGCATAGAACCAGGAACCCAAAAAAAATCCAAAACCTGCCGCGAGAATAAATTAAATAAATAGCCCTCCATTCAATAATCTCAATATATAGTTTTTCTATGTTTTTCCTGGGTTTCCCACTTTTGTGGTTTCAGAACGTTCTAAAACCTCCGAAAAAAAAAAAAGTAACATCCAAGGATCCACCAGTTTCGGCCCTTTTCCCGTCCTGCAGCTCGGTCAAGGCTTCCAGGTAAGCTGGAGATAGCAAATCTGCTCGGATGGACAGGGCCTGGCACAGGATACCCAGGTCTGTCTGAAAGTGGGGCATATGATACCGCAATGGCCTCCCTAGCATGGCAATTGTGAGAGGCAAGATCATGCTTTATAAATTTGTAAACCAGTGGATTTCAGACAAGCACAAAAGGGATTTCACACGCGAGAATGATAAGAATGCACATTTAACCATCAAACAACTGTAAATACCTATCAAAAACTGGAATGTGACCTTCGAATTGAAACTTTCGTGAAAAAGCGATCGATGACATCGTCTTTTGAGGAGTGCACCATTCCGTTTTTGGTGTCCCCAATCACCTGGTCTCCGTCGACCTACAATTCATTATGCTTGTAATTCAAGAATCCAAATGTTGTGGTACCATCCTATCTTAGTCGTAAACTTCTGACCTGTCCGTGGTTTTTCTGGTTGCGGGGCACCACCAAAGCTCAGCCTGACCAATCTTGATGAAGGTAGGACCCAGGTCTGTCAGAATCTGCACCAGCTGCTGGGCTCGCTTCGGCGAATTGGCCTGGATGTCTGGTGGTCGTGTTTCATCACCCTCCAATGAGAAGAACCCACTAGACATGGCTTGTGGATAATAAGAACATATAAGAACCATTGATTGAGAGTGGTTCACCTGGTGGTTCTGGTGGTTAATCAGATAATTAATATCACATACAACTTTCCCACCATTCGGTCTGACATGGATCTTTATATAAACATATTCCCATTCTGGCTGACAATAATCCAATAAGCCAGGTAGCATAACCCCTTGTATCGAGCCCATCAACAGGGGGTCACACTTTGCAATCAGCAACCTGGCCTCCCAGCTTCCTGTTTGAATATCTAGCAACAGGCTGACCTCAGTTGTGGCAAAGTTGCGCAAGCTCAAGAACCATCACAAATAGTTACACCTGTATGATGACCGCGTCCATAAATGGCAAAAAAAGGCATACTAAATCTTCTTTCACTCTCATATAATTCCCAAATGATGGCAGTAAATGTGTATGTCATATTATGCCAAAATAGTTCCATATCATCCCGTCCCAAACATTCCCATTTTTTACCAAGTAGAACCCATGCGCTTCAAGCATTCCCACAATCATTTTGCATTCATCAAGCAGGTTTTTCTGAAAACTAGCTTTCATGCCACCCAAAATCTAATGATTTCTCATCATCTTCCCCAGTGTTAAAACTGTCAATATATTTCGTTGACCCCCTTTTTGAAGACAAATCCACATATTCCCATGATTGTTTTTTCATATCTCGTTTTCGATGACTATTCAACAGATGTTTGCTGGCTAAATCTGGGCTATTGCTGGTTATACCCCGAAAGTATGGTTACATCATGTTATATCACTGCATGCTCGCTATATAACAGGATTGCTCAAAACCCCCAAATACATCCAAATACAATGGTGGCAAAATGGGTAGACAAAGAAGTAAAATTACATTCTTTGCGGCTATCATCCACTGATAAACAGCTGGAGAATGTTGGAGCAAGCGAAAAAAATAACCAATATTTAGAAATTATAAGATGAAATTAGAATACATATTTAGAATATGTCGGATGGGGCCTAAGCGTAACAACTCCACAAGTTTCTCTGAGGCCTAAGGCAGCAAAGCCCAAAGTTGTGCTCATCAGCTCAGTGGCTCTCCATGTCACACTCCAGGGACCTGTCTGATGGCTCCCCCGCAACTGTACCAACTGGCCAGTGTAATCTGGCACGTGTGGTCAATCATGACTAACCTTCAGACTTCTTAAATTCTTAAGATGTCTTCAGCGGAAAATCCGATTCTGCAAAATGGCTGGAAACCTATATATAGCATCCTATAGCCGTGCAATGTATTGGTATTGGTATCATTCAAATCCATTTCTGGCTGAGTGTTCACCGACCAAGCCACCACTCCAAACAAGATAAACAAGGCAGAGGCCACGTGCTTGAAAGTAGGCCGCGGCCGTCTCGGGGTCATAGCGTCCCTCCGGATACGGCGTTGCGGCGGGGAAGTTTCTCCGGGCAATGCGCCCACAGTTTCTGCGGGGAAGCACACGACCTCAGATTCCCAGAGACTCTGAGAGTCAGGTCTGATGGGATAGGACAACTTCCGAGGTAGCTAGGATCATGGAATATCATGGACATTGGGGATTCAAAACCGAAGAAGCAAGTCCCAAATATGATCACACATCGCAGTCCCAACAGCCTTTTTTGGGGTGTCTCATGGTGTCTCGAGAGAATTTCTATTGGTATGCCAGTATCTGGTGATGGAGACCCAGGCTTTCAAGCTAAGTTCCTCAACAAGGCCCAAAAAAAAATATACTTTGGGAATGCTTGGGGACCATACAAGTGGCCTTCATTTCGAGATTGTGTGGATGCAACATGACATAATCAGCTTGAAAACCTCTAGGCTCTCTCAAATTCAGGCTTTTGTCGCCCCTGCCGCCAATAGGAATGAAGCGGCTCAGAAGCTAGTAGCCGTCTTCAAATGCATGCTACAATGATTCGACGCGTCTCAGTTCACGTCCGGAAGAATATAGCAAATCAACATACACCCTGCTCCTCGACTTTGCTAGGGAAACTAGGGCCAGCCAGCCACAGGCCTGGGACCTGGGATGCCACTGCAGCCATCTTAGCTCGCAACGCAGGCCATCTACAGTGAGACCTGCTGTTTGGGAGCTCCTCCCAAACAGCACGTCTCACCATTGAAGTCCCGCGTTGCGAGCAACGTATAGGCGAAGATCACCGCGACCCCGTCAGGAGAGCAAGACTTTTGCCGTACAGAAAGCTACGGGAAGCCGTAGCTCTCTGTACGAAGAGAGCTAAGTCTTGCTCTGACGGGGGTGGTAAACATCCCCCCAATAGGTTTGAGCATCCCCAACATTCCTCAACTATTGGGCCTGAGGATATCATCTCCATCATCCATTGAGGTTGTGTCCAAAATATTCTACCAACATTTACCAACCAACAACTGCCAACAAGAACCAACCCCTGTCCTGACGGAAGAGTTTCACCGCCATATTGGAGGAGTCTTCGAAGATTAGTGAACCGAACTTTATAAAAGTCCAAGAAAAGCTCGGGAACAGAGTCTTTTTCGATGCTGAAGACCTTGTTCTCAAGCTTCTCCTGGACTTGTGCAGGGAAGCGGATCCGCTTGAACCGAGATGGCGCAGTCTGAACGATCATCTTTCGACTCGCGGCAAAGCTCGCTTCATGGTAGTAATGTCGCTGTCTCCACCGATGCCTTCTTGCTCAAACTTCCCTGAGGAAAGTTTGAAATCTTTGCTGCAGGCTCCGGTGTGGAGCAGTAGGAGGCTTCTTGTGGCGACCAATGACGTAAACGTCAAGCAGGGCCCCTTTGAGATGTTTTGTGTTCTCGGGCTTTCTTGATTGATGGATCAAAAATGATCAAAACTTATTCACTGAGGGCAGGGCAAGCAGCTACAAGGCCCAAACTCGGCAGAAGCAAACTCCTCACATTTTGCGATTTCATCAGCATAAACGTAGGGATTCAATGCAACAAGCACTGATGGTCTGGTGTTTGAGGGGCTTCTCTGCCTTGCAATCCAGGAGAAAAATGGAAAAAGGCTCTTTTCAATCCAGCACAGTGAAAGCCCCATATTTGTGTCGATCCTTTTCCATGGTTCCCTGGCAAGGATGCGAGTGCGAAACAACATCGAATAGAAAACCCGACACCCAAATCAAATAAATTGCGAGAGGAGAGGAACTATTTTTCATGCAAGACTGTGTAATGAGGATCCTTAGACCTACTGCTTGACATGGTCAATCAGTGGTGGTGAAAAGACCCGTTTATTTGAGTAAACATAATACAACTATATACTGAGGATATTATCGCCACCAAACATCCAATGGTTCATGTGGACAACTCCCCACAATGGGACATTCATCAGCCCTTGAAAACCCAAACGTCAATGAGACCGCTTGGTGTCCTGAAGGAATAGCCGAAAGAATAACCATCCTTTGCTGCTGAAGGCTCCCTTGATGCCTCGGAAAATGGGCAACAAACAAAAAAACAACAACTTGGCAAACCATTGATTTTCTCATCCAAACGTCCCAATCCTGGGATATCTTGGGGGAGTCACACAATTTCTGGATTCCCAGCTGGTTGTGGGGAATCATGTCATTCCACGACATCGTGGCCAATTTTCTTCCAAGTTTGGGACAGCACCATGGCAGTCTCAGCTTGGCACCAGCGGGAGTCGAGATGTGATGCTTTGCCCACCCAGAGATCTCCGGTGATCAGGGCAGTCGAACAACGAACTTGCCACTGGAATTCTGATGAATCAATAGACATTCAAGTTGTTTGAAGTTGGAATCATCATTGCTGTTTTGGAAGCCCGTATAAACTAGACTTAGTTGACATTCGAAGACTATATTGTGGCCATAGACGCCATAGCTGAGCCCTGAGTTGTCATTGTTACATGGATCATCCCACGACGTTCAGGCCTGGGCAAAGTGAAGCAGGCTGCGCAACCGGCCGCAATTAAAAGCAGTGCTCCCCCGAGACCTACAAGCGCTGCGGTGGCTCAACCCAAGAAATGCTGGGATTGAATGATTGAATCTCCATGTTGGAGTCAATTGCTTTGGCCAATTCAACTGGACTTGGAAGTTGAACTTGGCATTTGAACTTTGGCTTTGGAAACTTGCATTAATGCAAGAAAAACCATCCACTTGACTGGGTTTCAACCATGTTTCCCAACCACTTACCAGTGGCGACATCCAACTGTGCCTGCCTTTGTTGTATCTGTGCACATGCATCTCAAGGTAGGACCATGTTGCGACGCACAGCTGCTCGTGACTGGTTGAGGCGACAATGACTTGATGACTTGAAACTGATTTCCGGTCCCTCAAAATGATCCGCGTGTTCTGTGTAAGAGACCTATCATTACAATTCACAATAATTAATGAACATCAAACATCATCAAACTGTTAAATTGTCAAATTCCAAACTGTCAAAGTGGCTGACTCGTCTGACATATCAGTTGGATCTGGCATGCTTCTTCAGGTCTTCCACAGTTAGTATTGATTCATCTTGTTTCTGCAACTATCTTCAGAAGCTGCGAAAGAAACCGCGGAAATATATCAGTCACTTGGGATTCATCAGTGCAGCCACGAAAAAATGGCCGAACAGAATCGTAAAGTGACTGTCCTGAAACATCACTCATCTGTCTATTATTGTTGTTGCGAATTATATATTGTTATTATCATTCTTACATATTCTTACTGTATCTTATTGTTGTTATCATTCTTGTTAGTAGTGTTGTTGTCATTATAGTAGTGTAGTTATGACCGTTCTTAACATCATTTTTATCAATGTCAATATTACAATTAATGTGGGTAAAACAATGATAAACCATCCCCCAAATCACCATAAATAATTAGCTGGTATAAACCATTCCCAAATGGGTTGTTTATTATTGTTTTAACCACATTATTACAAGTCCCCCTAAGAAAACATCAACTCTGTCCCTTGGGCCGCTGAGTTGCTGAAACCTGGGAGCCTCCCAAGTTTGACCGTTGGAAGTTGGGGTAGGGGGTCCAACAAAGGTACATAAAATCATAAAGGGGTTATATCATGTTATATCCCCTTTCTAAAAGAAAAAAACATACTCATTATAGACATGTTCACACGATCGAATACTATTTGGGTGATACCGGCGTCTGACACATCAGTTGGATCTGGCATGTTTCTTCAGTTCGTCCATGTTTCCTTTTGATGTGTTTTTTTCTGCAACTATCTTCAGAAGCTGTCAAAATAATCATAAAGGCACTATCCTGAAGCAATCCTGAAACATACCATGTTTGGGATGATTGTTGTTAAACTATCAATATCTTTGGTTTGTTGCTAGTGTCATTATGATCATTGTTGTTCTGTTGTTCTTTGTGTGTGTGTGTTTTTACAACTCGTTGATGGTAATTAGTAGTACTGTTATCATTATTGCTAATTACTGGTATTGTTGTCATGTTTATTGTCATCATCGTTATCATCGTTACCATCATTATCATCATCACTTCTGTATTGCTATTCTCCCTAAGAGAGCATGACTTCTAGCCCTTGGTGAGGTCACCCAGAGACTTGAACCCACCGGCAGCTGCCGACATTTCTCTGGGCTATTCCGAGGTGTAGTCGCTGCTTGAAGCCTCAGAGCCTCCCAAGTTTGACCGTTGAAACCTGGATGAATCAGTTGAATCACGTTCCAAACCCGAAATGTCACTGGTTGGCTAATAGGATTTCCCATAATGGATTAGATTGTGAAGATCCCCAATATATTGGATGGTATAGCCCCCTATGATAGTCAACCAAAAGGGGTGTTGAACACTGCTTATTTGCCACGTGATGTCAAGCCAGGATTAATAAACCACCAGCTTTGTTCGTATGGGGTATCAATTTTAATAGTAATTTGGAACGGTATTTTGGGGATACAGTAACACCCCAATAGTCAGGGTTTGGGTAGGATAGGGGGGACCAACGACGGGTAACTAAAGGGATTGATATCCCCCCTTCTTATCTATGTCAGAAGAAACAACTGTTTTTCCCCAACAGCAAAACTTTGCTATGGGGTCTTTAGCCCAGATTAGCTCCAGATACCTCGTGAGCTTCCGGAGGGTTCTGGTACAGATACCTCGTGAGGTTCCGGAGGGTTCCGGTGAAGATACCTGCTGAGGCTCCGGAGGGTTCTGCGCAATTCCAAATGCTTCCGGTGCAGATACCTTGTGGGGTTCCGGAAGTTTCTGGCGCAGGTGCTCGATGAGGTTTCGGAGGGTTACGGTGCAGATACTTGGTTAGGTTCTAGAGGGTTTTGGTGCAGGTGCCTGGTGAGGTTCCGGAAGTTTCCGGTGCAGCTACCTGATGAGGTTCCGGAGGGGAGGGTTCCGGAGCAGATACCTTATGAGGTTCCGGAAGGTTCCGGTGCAGAGACCTTGTGAGGTTGCGGAGGGTTTTGGCAGAGAAGATGCTGGGTGAGGTTCCGGAGGGTCCCGGTGCAGATACCTTGTGAGGTTCCGGAGGGTTCTCGTGCAGATGCTTTGTGAAATTCCAAAGGGTTCCGATGTTTTTTTATGGCATAAGCACTTACTTTTTATGGCATAAGCGCTTAATTGTTTTATGGAATAAGCACTTTTTATGGCAAAAACGCAGAAGCTTTCAAGCTGTTGGGGATAGCACCTGAGTTTATTTTAATTATGCATAGACTAGATTTACTCATAAAACCTCATAAACACACCAATCCTATTAAATGTTTGCAAACGGGGTTTTCTTGGGTGATGGCGGTAGGTAATGGGGTTAATTGCTCTACAATGCGGGTTTAACGGAATTTAGCTGGCTTTCCAGTGGCGGATTTCGCCTCAACTTGTGCCAATAAGCAACTCCAATCGGCTCATCCCATGGCCTTTTTCCGCGCCCTTGAGGCTTGCCAATCGAGCCTGTGATGTGGAGAAGTGGCGCAATGGACAGTGACTGCAATGAACTGCAATCGTTGGGGTAAAGTAGATATTTTATATCCTTTTATGATCTTTTATGCATTTCTACTTGCTGCGTCCCCTGTTCCACTGGTTTGAGAACTTGTATTATCAGATTGAAACACACACCACACCCCTACCGTTCTGCAATTCTTTCCCTCCCGCACACTCTGGTTGGGTGCTTAAACCCAGCCGAAGAAATTGTAGTCGATTGTGTTTTAAATAAAAAAATCATAAAATGGAATAATGCCAAGTTCATATGAATAACCAAGGTCTATATAGATCCATGAGAAGGCGTTCATCCCCAAATAACCGGCAGCAAAACCGAAAATGGGATTCATATGGATTCATGAGATTTGGAATGGGATTCATGACATGTAGTATGAGAAATGCTTTGGTTTTCCATTGGTTTTCGCGACCACCCATGTTGATTAATAGGGAGGGATCAACCCAAAGTAGTATTGCCAAAAACTTTATGGAATCTGGGTGTTGATTAGTTCAAGGCTTGTTAATATGATTTTGGCATTACATAGACGTTTGTTTGGAATCATCAACCCAGTCCTATCGGCTATACTCCCATGTTCTACAGTTAAATCATGTGAACTCAAACTGTAAATTCCTGTACAAATCCCCCACTTTTTGTCAGTTCAATTCCCATACGCTCTTGGCGACAACCCATATATTTGATATCTTTTGCCGATTCCAATCCATGGTTTCCTGGTGAATTCCCCGTAATTCCCCAATTCAGTGTCAACCAGACCCAGGAATCCTCATTGCTGATACACCCATGATTGATGATCAATACCGCAGCAAGTGAAATTGATCTCCGGAGCTTTCCAATCCATGGGGGTACCCCAAACAATCATTTTCATCATCCATTTCAATAGGATTTTCATGGATGTTCCATTTATAAACCATCCAGCTATTGGGGTACCTCCATTGATGGAAACCTCCATGTATCAACTGATCGTTGGGGATGTCCACGCCTTGGCGTCGGACAAACGCTGTTCGGCTCGCTCAATCTGCTCAGCCTCGATGGACAAAATGTACCATGTAGAAATAGGGAAGTCAAATAGACAACTATAGATACATCATGATATATCACGATATATCCGATCTTCACCTGCAACTCCTCAAAGTATTAGAGTTTTTAAATTACAACTGATACTCACAATCTATATATATATATAATTATATATATATCATTACACGGATATACGTGGTATAGTGCACTACCTACATCTTTGTACCTGAAAAAAACACGTCTTGAGCTCCAAGCGCGGTCTGTGACAGCCTTCGCCTTGGCATCCAGGACCGCCTGTCGCTATGGAAAATGGGGGTCCAGCATACTCCAAATGGCATACCTATGTGAGATATAATTAACAAAATCATACTAACCACATTGTTACCATTTTACAGGGATATAATGGGAATTCTATAGGGCTTTGCACCCCCTTGATGAGATTATTCTGTGCGGATTTAACCATCATTTCACGAGTTTTCAGCATCAACAATATGAGCTCCCGTCAGAATCCTTTACATGTGAGTAGTTGCTATTATTATGGTTACGTATCGCTTTTGGGGGGCCCTATCGGTTTCCAGGGTTTTGTGGAAATCAGCATATTCGAGATCCAACATGAAGCCAAAATCCTAAACAGGTTCGGAAATGGATCGAGGAGTTGTTTTGTTGGCTTCAGGTGCTTCGGCAACACTTCATGTTCCTTTCATTTTGCATTCATGTGCATGCATGTTCCTTCATTTTCCTTTCATTTATTCCGTACATGTTCATTCCAATGTGCATTCATGCCCTTTCATCTTCCTTTCATTTGCATGCATTTTCCTTTCATTTTGCATTCATGTCCTTTCATTTGTGGAAATGGCTCTATGACTTGGCCAGGGGACCGAGTGCAACAAATGGTTATCGCTCAGATTGTCGCTAAAAAACCCCTCGAACATATGACATTGTTCGAAGGAAATGTACCACAAAAACGACAGAGTGAGAGAGAGAGAGAGAGCGCGAGCGAGCGAGTTCGATGCCAAATGATATGGTAACTGCAGGAAACAGTGCACCACAGGTTGAATTTCTCTCATCGGTTTTGCCCGTTCTGTGAATGTGCATAACAGTATTTGTTTGGTTTACGCCAAGTTTAATGGACTGTCATGTATGGTCCCAGGTTATCGCTTTTTGGGGGGACCTATCGCTTTACAGAGTTTCGTGCATATCTCTGACAAAAAACTCCGGCAATACTAAAGTGGTCTTCAACCATTTTGACCGTGACTCATGTGGATAGTATGATGGTGGATTGTACTAGCCTGTATCATCTTTATCTATTGGGCGCCATGAAAGCTT